CAAAAAAATCACAGTACAATCCAATTTATTTTAAAAGGTGCATGATTGATACATACATACATACATACATATATATACATATATGCAGATTATGCATCATAAGTTTATAAGGGCCAACCAGACTTAAATAATGATAGAATTACCTGTAAGCTCAGGTAACTTTTCCTTTGTACTTTAAACATTTTCAAATCACTTTTGTTTTAGACAGTGAGCACATATTACCTCTAAAATTAGTAAAAATAATATATTCCTATTTTTAAAATATTAAAAATTAGACCTCAAATGAATCACCCAATATTCAACTAAAATTTACTCAATATTAGATAATGTATTATCAGGTGGACGAACTATGTAACATTAGTTCCATGCACTTTTTGCTGAGACTCTGGTATTTCTCATATTGTTTAATTTTTAAATTTTATTGTATCTGGAGAGATAACTTAAATTTCCAGGGTATTATACAAGTTGAAACTAAATTACTGTTAAATTCATAGTTAATTGCACTGGTAAATGATTCAAGATGTGTTCTGTTAAAAGCCTTTTCTTGTAAATAAGCAGGAGATACAGATGAGGAAGACGATGCTTCAGAATCGGAGCTCTGGAAGGGTCCCCTGCCAGAGACAGATGAAAAATCACAGTAAGTCTGAGATTTGTAGATGCTCCCTTCTGTCATCAGCCAAGGGGGCTGTGGATACAGCTGTTCTTGGTATCACTTAATGAAAATATTTAATGCCGTGAGTGTTTATTTAGTGCCAAAGACTCCCTACCCTGGTAAGGTGCAAGTTTATTACCAGCCATTGTTCTTGGCTCTAAAGAGCCAGCAGGCCCAGCATCAGTTCACTTTAACAGACAGTCTTCTGTTCTTGCTTGGATTCCTTCTGAGGGGGCTGTTCCCTGGCATCTAGGACAGCCTGTCCCATGATGTTACGATTCTCATGGCCCATGCTGAGGAGCCCCTTGAAGGTTTACACAGGTGTAGGAAAATCCTTGCCAACTCTCCTCTCAGCCTTCCAACAACAGATAACACTTGCTGTGTGTAGCGGCTGATGCAAAGCCTGTGCTGCTTGGCTGCTTGAGGCTGGCTGCAAACACTACGTTATTTATGGCTTGATACTTCTCACTGTACTTGACAGGTTATACTGAAAGTAATGTCCCCTCTAAGTTCTGTTCTTGCATTTAGACATGAACTTTTCTAGCTACAAATATGTATTTACTATTTTCACACTAATAAAGACTGTGGCCTGAACAAATGTTCTCACATTCCTGGGAGTAAGACTTGTATTTTTTTTTTTTAACACAGTTTCCATTTCAAGCATTTCTTTCTTTTTTTTTTTATTTAGAGAATATTTTATTAGTTTTTGTAATCAAACCCACGTAGATAAGACCTTACATATTTAATACAGTGTGTTACCCCAGTACAAATGGAAAAAAATTAAGTTCAACATTTCTAGACCAATATGGCTGTTAATTTCTGTACAATGCCAACTCAACACAGTAAACTGGGATACTCAAGCATTTCTTAAGCAGGTTATAATTTGAAACAGTGAACAGAGAAGGTATAAGGTCAACCAAAAGAGCAAAGAGAAGCAATAGTGTTTCATAAAGTATTCCAAAGAAAACTCTGAGGGCCTTTGAGAGAGGTACCAGCATGTGAGATATTCCAATTTTAACAGTTTTGAGAATAGATGCTTGTCTAGAAACTCTGAATTATTTGAATTATGAAAACATATTGGTATGTAGAATGATCAGCTAATATGCTGAATGAAAGTATTTTGTTTTTATTAGTCTCATACAATGTATCTAATTTTTTACTCTATTGATTTTTTTAATTTAATTTTTATTATTTTATTATAATCACTGTTTGTACTTTTTTATAGGGAAGAAGAATTTGATGATTATTTTCAGGACTTGTTTCTGTGAGCAGGGAGAGAGCCTCACTCCTTGGGAAGGAAGCGTACTGTGAAGCTCCATGAGCATGCCCGTGCTGTTGGGTCTGCGCAGCCGCCGGACAGAGGTTTCAGGGGCTCAGGGACTGTTTCAGACACTTCCTCCCTCCTTTGTGTAGCATCTCGGTTGCTTATATGTAAATCTGTTTTGTCCACAGCTCTCCAGTACATGATGCACTGTTTTAAGTGGCATTGAACGTGCAGTGATTGGCATTAAACTGTAAATAAAGTATTTAGTGTCTAATTTTAAAATGGTTGATGTCAGGGCTTTTCCTTCTATAGGACAATTGTTCATTCTGCAGCTGCTGACCAGACTCTGCTAGGCGTAGGTGCTGTGCTGAGCTATTGCAGTCCTTTCTGAACCAGCAGAAAATAGTAAATTAGTGTTGGGTGTACTGGTGTTAACGATTGTGTAAAAGTTCCTCATTTCTTGAAGGTGTTCTTCAGCTTATTACTTACAGTGAGTAAAAAGGAATCTTTGATTTATAAGGGAAATTAGTACTGGAATTCCTATAGATGAGCATAATACTTTTATTATAAAATAAAAGTATATTCATGATCCCATGATCATCAGAAAATAGAGTTCTGCGAAATTGAATGGTAACTGGGAAGACTACACATCATTTTACAATAGAACAATATATTTTGGAATGAAAACACAGTTTATGATATTAAGTTCCCAGATGAATTCCGATCATTATATTAAAATGACAGTGATCTCTTGTGTGTGGCTCACCCATTTGGTGAGCCACAAATGGGTGTGTGGCTCACCCATTTCCACGGGTCTGTGGAAAGAAGACACATGCTCTCCCAGTCTAGCCTTTTAGCTGCAGGGGCATCAGCTTCTGACAGACTAACTCTATCACTTAGCAAAGGGCTTTTTAAAAATTGTTTAATTTAAATCAAAAACAATCTTATTTTGCATACCAATCCCAGTTCCCTCTCCCTCCTCTCCTCCCATTCTCCCCATCCACTCCCCAGGAAGGGTGAGACCTTCCATGAGGGATCGTCAAAGTCTGTCACATCTTTTGGGGCAGGACTGAGGCCCTGAGAGGCAGAGAGAGTATCCCTCCATAGGGAATGGGCTCCCAAAGCCCATTCATGCACTAGGGATAAATACTGGTTCCACTGCCAGAGGCCCCATAGACTGCCCAGGCCTCCCAACTGACACCCACCTTCAGGGGGCCTGGTTCCGTCTTATGCTGGTTTCCCAGCTGTCAGTCAGACTGGGGTCCATGAGCTCCCACTTTTGCTCAGGTCATCTGTTTCTGTGGGTTTCCCCAGCATGGTCTTGACCCCTTTGTTCATCATTTCTCCCTCTCTACACCTGGATTCCAGGAGTTCATCTCAGTGCTTAACTGTGAATCTCTGCTTCTGCTTCCATCAGCTACTGGATGAAGGCTCTAGGATGGCATTCAAGGTAGTCATCAATCTCATAGGGGAAGGGCATTTAAGGTAGCCTCTTCACTATTGCTTAGATTCTTAATTGGGGTTATCCTTGTGGATTCCTGGGAATTTCCCTAGTGCCAGATTTCTCTTTAAACCTATAATGGCGGGGGCTGGAGAGATGGCTCAGAGGTTAAGAACACTGACTGCTCTTCCAGAGGTCCTGAGTTCAATTCCCAGCAACCACATGGTGGCTCACAACCATCCGTTATGAGATCTGGTGCCCTCTTCTGGTGTGCAGATATACATGGAAGCAGAATGTTGTATACATAATAAATAAATAAAATCTTTAAAAACAAAACAAAATACCTATAATGGCTCCCTCTTTCAAGGTATCTCTTTCCTTGCTCTCCTTCTCTTGTTCTTCCCCCAACTCCAACCTTCCTGATCTCTCATGTTCTCCTCCCTGCTCCTCTTCTCCCCTCCTCTGTCTCTTACCTGCCTCTCCCCTCCCCCATGCTCCCAATTTACTCAGGAGATCTTGTCCCTTTCCCCTTCTTGGGGGGAATGCACATCCATGTATGTCTCTCTTAGGGTCTCCTTGTTTCCTTGCTTCTCTGGGGTATCACTTACATTCCAACATTCCCTTCTCCCCTCCCCTGTCTCCTATGTCCCTCCTCCCTCCTTTCATGCCCTCATATACTCAGGAGACCTTCTCAATTTCCCCTTCTCAGGAGATCAATGTATGTCTCTCTTAGAGTCCTTCTTGATTCCTGGCTTCACTGGGGTCATGGATTGTAGGCTGGTAATCCTTTGCTCTACATCTAATATCCACTTATGAGTGAGTACATACCATGGTTGTCTGTCTGGGTTTCCTCACTCAGGATGGTTTCTTCTAGTTCCATCCATTTGCCTGCGAGTTTCAAGATGTCATTGTTTTTTTTACCACTGGGTAGTACTCCATTATATAAATGTAACTCATTTTCTTTATCCATTCTTCAGTTGAGGGGCTAATACTAATCAAACTGGCTACAGCTCTGCAGGGCTCCCACTATCTGGCACAGTGGCAGACAAAGGGAGTCAAGTTTGAAGGAGTCTTTGCAAAGTCTGAGGTGATGTTTGACATCGACCGTGCAGCTGCTTTGGCTCATTGCATAGTAAGCAAGCTATTTCATACTTGAGCTCAGGCTGAAGATGGCGCAGGAGTTCCTACCACTTGCTGTTCTCCCAGAGGACCCCTCTTGGGAGCCCAGAACCCCCATGTCAGGTGACTCCCAAATGTCTATAACTCAAGTTTGTGGGCACATGCAGCGCTCTTCTGGCCTTCACCAGCAGAGGCACACACGTCACATAGACTCACACAGACACATACAAATAAATGAATCTTAACATAGCTTGTGACTCATTTCAAGATAGCAATTTTTAATTTAAAACAAACTGGCAGAAAATTCATTGGTTTTCATCCTATTTTGTTCTTTGAACTTTATTTAGCTCACGGGGTTTCTAGGTCATCAGTAGATATTCTGTGGATAGTCACATGGCAGTGTCTCTGGAGATCTTTCTGTTCTGTTACTCCAGGGCTACTGAACAGAATTCAGTAAGGTTCTTTTGAATGTTTTTTTCTTGGAAACTAACATGACGCTTGAAATATAGACCAGTTGGATTGTATTACAACATTAAGCACGTTTTAGACTTTTTGTAATCGGTGCCACCTCCTAAATCTGTGGCAGCTAGTGAAAGACCAGAAAAAACATTATTAGGAGTCAATGTGATATGATGCTTTCATTCTAACAGTCTCATGGTATCTGTGCCAGATCTATATTTAATAATATTAGCTTATAACAACTCCAAGGGTGTAACTGTTTAAAACCACTTTTTAGTCACAATTCAAGGAGCTAGAGAGAAGGCTCAGCAGTTCAGAGCACTTGTTGCTACTACAAAGGACCCAGATTTGATTCTTAGCACCCACATCATAGCTCACAACCACTTGTAATTCCCATTCCAAGGGATCTGAACCCTCTTCTGATCTCTGTATTCATCGGGCATACACATGGTGCACACATACATGCAGGCAAAATACTCATATACATAAATTGGGCAAGATTGGGCAAGATTGAGAAATAAAATTCAAGAACCAGGTGTGGTGACACATGCCTTTTTAATCCCAGCACTTAGGAGGCAGAGGCAGGTGGATCTCAGTGAGTTTGAGGCCATTGTGAATTCTAGGACAGTTAAGGTTACATGGTAAGACTTTGTCTCAAAACCAAAAACAAAAAATCAAAAAGTATAGAGACAGCCAGGTGTGGTGGTACACACCTGTAATCCCAGCACTGGGAAGGCAGAGACAGGTCTTTGTGAGTTTCAGACAGCCTAGACTACATAGTGAGACTCTCAAAAAGCAAAATTAAATGAAACTTGATAAGCAGACACCCAGTTACCATGTCAGTGTTTCAGTGAAATTAAACAAGCTAGAATCTGAGCCAGAGGCACAAAACCTGAAGCCCAGAAGCACAATGGCCTTAATTTTCAAAGAACTCTCAAGTAATAGACAGAAATTAAAAATAAATGTATGGAAATAATGTATAGAAAATCTGTGTCTACTCTGGGAGGAATTAGGGGAGGGAGTTGGTGTCAAAACAATCCAAATACATTGTGCACATATGTGAAATTATCAAAGAATTGATTTAAAAATGTTGTATTAAAGAATGAAGGCTAAATAAATACAGGAGCCACTTGGAAAAGGTGGCAGTATCTTTATCTTCAAGTTTCTTAGTCCTAAGGAATTTCTCCTCATGGACTCACATTCTAACAGAAGAGACAAAGTAACTTTAGAAGTTTAACAAATTAGTCAAAATCTCCTGTCTTCCTAAAGAGCAGGGCAGACTTCCCTGTACTAACCCCTGCTGACTGTGTAATGCAGCCCGCTGCAGGCTGTACACTGTTGGGCTACCAGCTCCATCTGGTACCTGTGTAATGTAGCTAGCTGCAGGCTGTACACTGTTGGTCAGCCGTCTACACTGCCAGCTCCATCTGGTACCTGGTAAGTGGCTTTCAATCCCCTCTACTACACATGGATGTGTTTTTGAATGATTCTGCTACCCCAAGCTTATTCCCACTTCAGCAGTCATTTTATATATACTATTTTTTCTTCTCTACTCACCTCCTTTGTTTGAGTGGGCGCTCATTGTCTTGGGGACCTCAGCACAGGGAAGCCTTCCTGTGCTCTCGGAATACACCCCAGGCTTTCTCCAAGGCTCACTGTCACATTATGCATTGGTTGCTAATGCCCAGTTCTCCCTTTAGAGGCAAGAGCTTGGAGATAAGGTCCCTGTCTTTACCCAAGACCTATCTAAGACAGCTTTGTGAGAACACACACCCCTTAAATATTTTAATAGTGGGTATGAAGGCATCAGAAACTCCCGCTGTTGAGGGACATCTATAACTTTGGTAAGGCAAATATTCCCACTCTCAATGAGCTGATTAAAATCTGACCAAATGGTGCAGCTGTGTCAAAGCATCTTCTCACAGGGCCGTCCACCCAGAGATGGCTTCTCTGCCAATAGGAACGGCTTACAAAACTGTTAGAGTGCTAACCTTTGGAGATGGACATTAACATATCAGCCTGAGGAACTATCTCAGTAGGAAAAGGGTTTGCCAGCTCAGGCACAAGGACCCGGATTTGATTCCTAGTAACCATGTGAAGAAGCTGGTCGTGGTGGTACACATTTGTCATCCCAGTACTGGGGAGGTAGAAACAGATGGATACACAGGTCTTGTCCAGCCAGCCAGCTTGGCTAAATAGGTGAGCCCCAGGCCAGTGACAAAACCTGCCACTGTGACACAACAAGGTGCACAGCCCCTCAGGCCCCCACACCAACACACACACACACACACACACACACACACACACACACACTCACACACACACACACTCACACTCACACTCACACAGACACTCACTCATGAACATGCATGGACATCCCACCACCACCAACTCAACATTCTGCTTTCTGCAATGGTGGGAAATGCTCTACCATTGAGCTCCAGCCCAGCCCAGCTTTCCGCTATCAATATGGACATTCAATTGAAGAACTAATAATTCATTGTAACCCTTTAACACGATTTCTGAAAGCAATGATGAACCCGGCAAGTGACTGTGGCAGTAGGAATTTTGAGCGAGAGAGAATAGCACCATGTGAAGATATCTGGAGGGCAAGCAAAGATTTGAAGTCTCCTTCAAGCCACCTCCTGTGGTTGGCCAACTTTAACTGTACCTGTAGGACTTGCTTAAAGTGGAGATAAATCTGTAAAACCTCTTATATAATATAGAGAGTTTGAGCAAGTTGCCCAGAGTTTCACAGCTAATGCAGGGTGTCATTTTCACTGTGTTCTCATCTATTCCTGACCCCTGACCCATATTTTATAGAGATGCCCTAGAGCTACCTTCTAGAGGGTGCTAATGCCCAACTGTAGCTTCTGAAGTACCTGGACCAGCCTGGGCCTGTCAACTCCTCCTGGAATTGTGCATAAGATCTTGTCTGGGGGCAGAACAACCCTGAAAACTACAAACATCTTACACTTGCCTGCCTGCATCAGCAGAGCACTTTTCCTGTTAGCACTTCCATTCTGTACCCCCACTTCTGGCTACTGCACACACACACACACACACACACACACACACACACACACACGAACTTGGATTCCAACTAACCTTTTCCATCCACAGCTCCTTCTTCCTGCTTTCTCCCCTCCTCTTGGGTCACCCTCACCTTCGCCTCATACTCATCAGCTAGTGATTTCCATTGCACTCTGTTATTCTGAAGGCCGTTCAGCATGGGGGTGATTTCTCTGTGAAACCGTGAGAACTCCTGCAGAGGATTCGAGGTGGGGAAACTAGTTAAGCAGACAGTTGATTTTCAATAGAGTTCATCTGTAGAAGAGAAGCTGTGAGGTGGCTGGGGTTTGGAGCTGCGGGGATGAGCCTAGGTGCTTCCCTAGCTTGGGAAAGGCAGGTGCTCTTTGCTGCCTGTCAAGTAGGTGTGTGCGTGGTTCAGATTTGAGTTCTTGCACATTTTATTCCGCTCTGAATGAATCAAAGTCAATGCTCAAAATACTATGGAGGAAATGACCTAGTGGTTTTCTTTGTTGGTAACTTTTTTTTTTTTTACTTTAGTTAGCTTTTTTGTTTTTTAGGCAAGGTTTTGCTGTATAGCCCAGGCTGGCCTAAAACTTAACCAAGTAGTCCAAGGTGACTTTGAACTCTTGATCCCCCTGCCTCCTGACTGCTGAGATTACAGGTGTGCACCACCACACTTGGCTCATGCTTTGAAAGAAAAATTCTCATTTAAATGATTATACTGTTCACTCAAATAATTTGTTTACATACCTTATATACAAAAGTACAAACAAAATCAATAAATCCCACTTGAAGTTTGGGGAGCTCGTCTTTTTTGTTTCTGTCCATCATAGGCTAGAAAGAGAAGTAAATCCTTATAAGATGTTTTCCTGAGATTCAGGGTTGTTTTTGAAATAAGTGACTCGGATTTTTACAGGGTCTTTACAATTGGTTGCTGCTGCAGCACTGTTCTTTCCAAATCACCTTGTTCCCAAAATTCATTTGCAACGAGAAGTGCCACCTGCAAAAGACAGAGGCATGGTTTGTAATACCCACTGTCAGCAGAGAGCTTCTGTCATGTCAGCATGAGTGACATCTAAGGGCGGGATTTTCCAGTCAATGCTTGAGGTGTCATCAAGTCGGCAGCTCTGAAGCTGTAAAAAAGATGCCACTTACAGGTTATACTGAAATGGGGAAGGGTTTTCTTCCTGTTTGAGGGTTCTGGACTAACTCTGAGTATGTCTTCTATTTGTATTGCTATCACTTGTCAGTTAAGGGGTGATGGGAGGATGTTGAATTTCTCAAACCAAGATGCCTGGAGCCCTCACTTTTTCCAGTCCTCTTATTAGCTGTGGTCTTCTAGCATAGGGTTGCATAGGATACACACACACACCACACACACACCAGAGAGAGAGAGAGAGAGAGAGAGAGAGAGAGAGAGAGAGAGAGAGAGAGAGAGAGAGAGAGATACACATGTATCCTGACAGCATGTGAGGATAATCAAGTGTTAATTCATGTAATAAAAATGAATACACCTTGATGGACAGACATTTGTTAACTGAAATTAACTTCCACCTGACATTGGTGGAAGCCAGAATTGCCATGAAGAAAGTGATGGGACCTCGTCTTTCAGATGCTCAGAGTATAGTAAGAACAGTTTGCCCTCGGTGTGGTACCTTCTACAACACTAATAGGCTTACTGCTATGCATGAAGGAGGGAGAAGGAAAAGAGGCACATGAGGCCAGAGGGAGGCGGCATTTCTGTTGTACCACTGAGAGTGAGCAGTAGATATTTAGATAAAAAGGAGGGAGAGACTCTAAGAGAAAAATGCATGGACCCCAGCGAATGGGAAGGGACACGATCTCCTGAGCTAATTGGGAGCATGATGGTAGGGGACAGGGAGCTACCAGAATGAGAGGAGGAGAAGATGAGGGGAGAGGAGGAAATGGAGGACCAGAAATGTTGAGTTGGGGGAAGAATAGAGGAGAGAAGAATGGGAGATACCATATCAGAGGGAGCCATTATAGGTCCGAGGAGAGATCTGGCACTAGGGAGATTTCCAGAGACCTACAAGGATGACACAAACTGCCAATCTTGGCAATGATGGAGAGGATAACCTAAATGCCCTTCCCCTATAATGAGACTGATGACTACTTTTTATGCCATCCTAGAGCCCTCATCCAGTGGCTGATGGAAGCAGAGGGAAACACCCACAGATAAACACTGCACTGAACTCTGGAACCTAGTTGCAGAGAGGGAGGAATGAAGATCAAAGGGGTCGGGACTAGGCTGGTGAAACCCACAGAATCAGCTGGCCTGAACAAGGGGGGGGAGCACATGGACCCCAGACTGCTGCCTGGGAGGCCAGCACAGGACGGAATCAGACCCCAGAACACGGATGTCAATGAGGAGGCCTCGGCATTCTATGGGGCCCCTGGTAGTGGATCAGTATTTTTCCCTGGTGTAAGAAGGGACTTTGAGAGCCCATCCCACGTGAAGGGATGCACTCTCAGCCTGGACACATGGGGGAGGGCCTAGGCCCAGCCCAGGATGATGTGGTGGACTTTGGGGAGCCCCGTCGAGGTCCCTACCCTGCCTGGGGAGCAGAGGGGGGATGGGGTGGGATTGGGGAGGGGAGGGAGAAGGGATTGACATGTGAAGCAAGCTTGTTCCTAATTTGAACTAATAAAAAAAATTAAAAGAGACTGCCTGAATCTTATCCCAGAGCTTGTAGTGTGTGGTGACAGCTTGGGGTGATGGGTAATGGCCCCAGGAGGGTGAGGGAGGGACAGGCAATGACAGGCACGTGCACTCTGTCGGGGAGGATGAACTTAGGTCTCCAGGCCAAAGCTCCCTGTATCACATGGTTGTTTCTGTACAAGTTTTCTGAAAAGAAAGTAGACTTGTTTTTTGTTTTTCGTTTTAGGACAGTGTCTTGTTATGCTATCCAGGGTCGCCTTGAACTGACAGTCATTCTGTCTTAGTGTCTCAGGTGCTGGCATTACAGGTGTGCATCATCACACCCAGTTTTTTAAAAAAAAAATGTACTTCTTAAAAACAAATAAGTGAGCTTAGCTCACACAGCAAGTTCCAGGTTCAGTAAAGAGACCTTACCTCAAAAAGTAAGGTGGAGAGCATTTGAGAAAGACATCCCAGCTTTGGCCTCTGGCTTCCACTCCTGCTCTTCCAGAGGAGCCGAGATCTGTTCCCATCACCCACATCAGCTCCGGACTTCATCTAACCCTAGCTCTAGAAGATCCTATGATGTCTTCTCCTGTAGCACCACATGTACAAACTCTCTGCCTCTCCCTCCCTGCCCTCTCCCCTCCCTCCCCTCTTCTCCCTCCATCACACACACACACACACACACACACAATTTAAATGTTATTCAAAAATATATGAAGATAACTTTCTTGAGGCCTTTATTTATGAAGGCTCCTGTGTCATGTATGTAAAGCTTAGTTTCTCTTTGCAGGCCATCTTTTACCTAACTACTTTTACTTTTACTGCAGCCACAAACCAAGGATGGCTGGGAAAAAGCGTATTTGCCCTCCCCCACAATGGGTTCCAAATGACTTTTTCTTTCTAGATATAATAATCAGGATGGGTTGTTGAACCAAAGTAATTCTGGCTCTTCTGCTGACGGTTTCACCTAGGTGTCATTGAAAAAAAACAAAAACAAAAACAAGGCAGCTTCTTCCAACTAATTAATGAGAAAATAAATAGCTAAGCCCTCACCCCAAAGTAGGTAAAGAACAGGCCTGACTGTGGATGCTCAGTCAGAACCTTCCAGAAGAGCCCAGGGAGCAATGCTAGCCAAGTAGAGTGAACAATACCTTCCACCAGGGCCTGTTCTGACTTACCTGCCTACTGAAGAGCTCACATTTGATAGGCCTTATTATGCAGCCCAGGTTGTCATTGAACCCTGTATCCTCCTACCTAAAAATTTTATAGCTTGTCCAATAATAAGGAATTCTGGCCCCCACTTTCACCCCCCTCCATTTTCTTTCCAAAGCCTTCTGTGTTTCCCTTGTTCTGAGACATATTCCAATGACCCACTGACCTGCTGCTGTTTGTAAAGACTAGAATAGGACTCTGAGTTTGCCAAAGAATACTCTGTGGTCCTTCATGGGATTTAGGCAAGACCTGATATGTGTGGTAAGGAAAGAAATGCCTCAGGACTTGCCTGACTCTGCACTTCCCAGGCCTTGATGATGGCAGACAGGTGTGTGACAAGTCACAGATGTGTGATGGGTCACAGGTGTGTGACAGGACAGGAAATGCTGCTGGACTTGCTTGACTGCACCTCCCAAGGCTTAATGGTAGCAGAGCAGATCACAGGTGTGTGTCAGGTCATAGGTGTGGGATGGTGGGCCACAGATATGTTACAAGTCACAGGTGTGTGACAGGATAGGAAATGCTGTGGGACTTGCCTGACTCTGCACCTCCCAGGGCTTAGTGATAGCAGACAGGTCACAGGCAGTCATCATCATGGCCCTTGTGAAGAGAACAAAAACTATTAAACTAGAACAAATACAAAACCTGCTGTTTCGCTAACAAGAAATTAATATTCTCACTGCTCACATAATGACCTCCTTTTTGGTTGGGTCGGTGGTTACATATTTGATGGCTTCTTCTTCACTTTGCATTTGTTCACAGGCATCAACGATCTTTTGAAACATGGTTCTCTTCCTGGAAAAGATACAGCTGTGCATCAATTTTTCCACAGAAAATGATCCTAAGTTCGTGCTTTTCAGATTCTATGTTCCCACTCTGACTTGGGCTGTCTGCCTAGCAGGGGCCAAAAGCCAGGGTTGAGAGTAGGCAGTTCTGACTATCTCTGGCATAGAGAGGTCCGGAGGCAGAAAAAATACAAACCACAGAGTGGTGAGAACCCATGAAAGTCTGAATTCAGTAAAACCAAAAGTTCAAATAAGAAAAAAGCAAACCAGAGATACAAAGGCCAGGAGTTGTACCATCCTAACACACACTCCCAACAAAAACACAGAAGGAAGCCAAATACATGGATGACTGATCTCACTGGCAACTGGGAAACACAGACCTAAACAGTGGACATCTTCTCATACTCAATAGGTTAGAAAACTAAAATCCAATGTGTCCAGATCAAGAGTACTTTCAGGGGCTGGAGAGATGGCTCAGTGGTTAAGAGCACCGACTGCCCTTCCAGAGGTCCTGAGTTCAATTCCCAGCAACCACATGGTGGCTCACAACCATCCATTATAAGATTTGGTGCCCTCTTCTGGTGTGCAGATGTACATGGAAGCAGAATGTTGTATACATAATAAAGAAATAAAATCTTAAAAAAAAAAAAGAGTACTTTCAGATATGGGATCAGAGGGCCCCCGGCATGCTGCTGGTAGGATGTCAACAGTGGAGCTCAACGCTGCAAAGTGGTGAATACAAAACACAAGTGCACCTCACCACACTCCCACCTCTACATATAGAAACTTGATTAGATGCACAACGATCTGCAATGTAGCATTTTGGGCAATAATGGAGATGACAATCAATTTATTTGTATGGAGGAGTGTAGAGGAAATACTGTCTATCCAACAGTTAAACACCGTGTAATTGAAGCAAGTGAATTGGCTTTCTGTGTATTACCAAGGTTAAGTCTTTCCTTTCTTTCTTTCTTTCTTTCTTTCGTTTTTTCTTTCTTTCTACCTACCTACCTATCCATCTATCTAACCATCACATCTATCTATCTATCTATCTATCTATATCTATCATATATCTATTTCTGTATGTGTGCTTGTTTGTGTGTGAGGGGTGAGTAGGGAAGACGGGATAGGTGCACATCTATGTGTAAAAGCCAGAGTTGGACATCAGGTGTCTTTCCTTGATGGGTCCTTTCCAGCTGTCCTCACTAACATTCTCTCCTTATACTGGGGATACCATTGCTTCCTGTCACTCTTGGCTTTTTATCTAGGTGTTGAGGAATCCAAACTCTGATCTTCATACTTATATGGCATTTGCTTTACCTACTGAGCCCTCTGGCCTTCCCTTTAATCCTTTTTAATTGCATGATTGTTTGGTTTCCTTGGGGTCTTGCCTTGAATCTGATATGCTAGTGAATGCCTTATAATCCACTTGTAGTGCTTCAACATGAATATTTTTAATCAATCTAGAAGTGTCATGTCACCAAAGGCAGTGTGGGAAAAGCAAGTTGCAGAAATATATTTGCAGACAGTATGGTGTTATATATGGAAAAAAAATCTAGACACACTCACCAGTGCCACATCGTAACATGAGTGTAAAGGATGGAGCATATCAGTATCAGATGGCTTTCTTTGGAAGGCAAAGAGGACTTTGGGATGAAATAGGGATGGAGAGCCCCAACTATATCACTGCTTTTCTTTCTGTCCTTAAAAACTGAGCCAGGTGGTGGTACACACCTTTAATCCCAGCACTTGGGAGGCAGAGGCTGGTGGATCTCTGAGTTTGAGGCTAGCCTGGTCTACAGGTGAGTTCCAGGATATCCAGGGCTACTCAGAGAAACCTTGCCTCAAGGAAAACCAAAGACTCCTGGATTCTGAAATATATGACATGATGGGTCACCACTGGTGGGTTGTGAGGCCTGGGTGTCTGGGTACCATTACGTTGTCCTAAGCATTTGTCGTTATAGCTGAACTGTTTAATAGTTAGATTTTTAAGGAAGATTAACAAGGCAAAATTTGGCAGTGCCAAATTCACCAAATACTTGGATACTATAAATAGCCTAATTCTTTCTAGTCAGTGTTCACCATGAAACTTATATTTCACTTAGAATGTGCAGATGTTTGGCATATCTGGTCTCCTTGTCCCTCTGCTGTGTAAAAACTCAAGTTTTGTGAGTTTAGTTTGTGTGTTAGAATCATCAAGATTGTTCAATCCAAAACTCTCACAGGATCAAATTTCTGAGCCTGAAATTAACACATACCAGATTCTGGGCAAGCATTCTAGCATTGAACAAATCCAGTTAAATACTAGATTCTGGACCATGGTGAATTACTGGGACTAACAGCCATGGTGTGCAGTTTTGTGACATTATTCTGTATCCTTCCGTTTGAGCTGCAGATCACAGGGCAGGCTTGTGCTTTCAAAGTAAATCTCCAAAACAGAGTAAGTTCACTGTCAGACAACTGTTCTGAGGATAACTGCCATTCCAAAAAGAAAACAGATTTGTGAGCCTGATTTTAAAAATGTATGCATATGTGTGGATGCCTACAGAGGCCAGATGGAACATCACGTCCCTGAAACCAGAGTTAGAGCCCATTGTGAGACACCCAGTGTGGGTCCTAAGAATCCAACTCCAGTCCTCTGCAAGAATATCAAATGCTCACAGGTCATCTCTCCAGCCACATGAACAAGCCTTTAACTTCAGTGCAGTTCATGGAAGGCAGAACCATGCTGGACCCAGGAGCATCCTGATACTTACTTGAAATACAAAGCCAGGTCAGTGGCTATTATTGCAACTTCAAACAAATGGATCACTGTTTCAAACTGCCGCTTGCTTAAATTCTGGAAGATGTTTAAACTCTGTAAGATGAACAATTCACAATAAAATACAATCAGAAATTGACCTTTGGTTCAACAAACAAAACAAAACAAAACAAACGACACTTAGTGACTTGATATAGCCTGTCTTTCAAAAATCTGTGATGTCTTTTTTAAATTATTTATTTTTATTTAATTGCATTGGTGTTTTGCCTGTGTGGATGTCTGTGTGAGGGTGTCAGATGTCCTGATCCTGGAGTTACAGACAGTTGTGAGCTGCCATGTGGGTGCTGGGAATTGAACCCAGGTCCTCTGGAAGAGAAGCCAGTGCTCATAACCACTGAGCTATCTCCCTAGATTCTGATGTCTATTTTTTAATCTCAGGGTTTAAGTACATATCTCTACTCTACTTTGAGTAGGTCATTTAAACTCTAAAAATAGGCTCAGCTACTCTATGTCTACATTTTAGAATAAATAATTTGTTCTCTTTCAGTACCATGTGAAAATATAACAATAGAATAAAAACTTGTATTAGTTGAGGCACTGTAAAAAAAAAAAAAGGATTTCTGGGATGTACAATGGTTAGCCATGTGTCACTGTTGGCCAGCTAATTCTAGAGTAACAACAAAACCACTGTGTTTCAGAAACTTCCGTCTACACTGATATTCGCATATATAGGAAAAAAACAAACAATGACCCTCTCTGAGTTATCCTTAAAATACTTTCTTGCAATATTTCACAAAGAATTAGTAGAGCTCTTTTTCAGAGTTTCTCATTAATAATCTCTTCATATATGAATCATTTTCATTTCTTCATTTTCTAGATTACCAGACTATAAAACTTGGAGTGGTTATTAAAAGTGGTGGTATTCTGGGTGGACCACTTTAGTCATGCAGGACAGAGGACAGATGTACAATGGTATTGCCAATGAAGGGGGTAGTGACAATATATAGGACAATTCCACTGGAGAGAAAGGCAATATAATCTGTAGGCCAGTGTGGAGACCTACATATAATGCAGAAAGAAATATTGAGTATTTCATACCTTACCAGCTTCTAACTGCTTCATGAATGCCTCTATGACAAACCATAAAGCAGAGAGGTTAAGTAACTTGCTTTGGGTTACACACCTAGAGCAGGGCAGGGTAGCCTGTCCACACGGTGGGTGCTCTCAGTTTTTGCCCCATGCTGCCTTTCAGCAAGAAGCCTGGGGCCAGGTCTCAACTTTACATGATAGCTTCATAAGCTAGACACAGCCCTAACATCTGCCTTTGTTTTCTCAACTGGGATAAACTTGTCCTTCCAACTGCCTAACACATAGTCTGTGCTCAATAAAAACCCATGCAAGGTCAGCTCCAGTGAAGAAAACATGGGGAATCAGTCAGAGATTAAAACTGCTACAAGTTAACTCACTGTGGTATCTCTATTATGATAAGATTATGTATTATGCAGAGTTTTGAGAACAGCTCCTGGTTAAAATAAAATTAAACAAAATCTTCAACATCAAACCAAATCTGGCTATCAGTCATTCCAGAAGACTTGTGAGTTTTTGTCCAAGAACTCAAGTTCTAGACATGACAAGTTTTCACGGAGGCCATCTTTTTACATCATCTGGACCAAAAACTGGCATTTCTCAAGGCATACGTAGCTAGTAGACAGGAATCTATCATTTGCTTTGTTAAAATGTTGATTTCATTGTCACAACTATAGTCAGTATTTTTAGATGAGCAGAATCAAGCAATGGCCAGCAAACTCCCGCATTACAGGGACAGAACTGTCTGGATTAAAATCATATTCCTATTTGGGACTGTTCACAATGACTCCACTAGGCATCTCAGTCCAGATCCAATGTGGGTTTCCTCTGTGTGATCTCATGTAGCCCAGGCTATGTAGCCAAGAATAAGCTTGGATTCCTTATCCTTCTGCCTTCCCCTTCTAAGTGCTGGGGTTACAGGCATTCCACCACACCACTGCCACCAGGCTACATCAGCAAAGTTCATCCAGTCTTAATAGAATGCCCATTTCTGGGTTGTAGAATTTGAATGCCATCATTTCCATTTATATTCTTCCTCTACATTTCACCTATTACTTGAATTTTTATAGTGGAGCTAGGTGGGGTTTTTTATTACTAAGCTAGTAATTCTTAAAATATACAAGCATGTAGCATTTCATCTCCTTATCTCTGCACATTATTCTGAAAACATTATAGAAAGGAAGGTATGCCAAAACAAGCCAGGAAGCCCAGTTTTAGGCACACCAGTGCCTAATTGCTTAGCTGGTGTGTGTTTGTGTGCTGGTGTGTGTTTGTGTGTGCTATTCACTCAGGTCACAAGCTGATTTCTGTCTGGTTGGAATACAGGCAGTCCTATGTATCAAACTCCATGTAAGAGAAGTGCATTTCGGTTCAATGTATTACAATATGAAAAACAAATGTCTGAGTGATGCCCACAAGAGCCAAGATTGCTGAACAAATTCCAAGGATTTCTCCTGTTAATGTATGAAAACTTTTAGTGGACTTATTTTCTTTACATAATAATAAAAAGGCTACACTGTTTTCCTAAAATATAAAAGGCATATATCGTGAGCTAAAGTGTCAATTTTTTGTGGTCAATTTGACTGCTCATAAATACGCTGTGTGATTGTGTTGTCTAGCAACCATATTGACAGAGCTTTACACATCTGCAATTAGAGATTGAATAGCATTGTAGACAGGTCCTTGAAAAGACAGTATACAATACTGAGAGGCAATATTCCTTTTTAGAAAGAAGAATAATCGTTTGCATTGCCATCAAAGCCAGGCTTTGTACTTTGTGTCTCTGATGCTGTTAAACAACTTAGTCAAAAGAGGAAGTGGCTTGTTTTAGCTTGCAGAACACAGCCCATCATTGGGGGAAGCCACGGCAGGAACCTGAGGCATGAGCCTGAGGAAGGCTCCAACGGAGGAACACTCCTTACCGGCTTGTTCCACAGGTTCACACTCAGCAAAAGTCTTGAACAACCCAGGACCACTTGGCACTGCCCACAGTGGGCTGGACTCTCCTACATCAATTAACAATTAGGAAAATGCTTGATAAATGGGCCCACAGGCTAAACTGAGGGAGGGGATTCCTCCGCTGAGCCTCTTTCTCCCCAGCTCTTCCCAGCTCTCCCCAGTGGACAATTAAGAATAGCCATCACACTAGGTTAGACTGCAAAACAAAGACCATAAAAAACACAGAAAAGTTTACCTCTATTATAAACGGTCAAAACCCAGAAGGGGAAACATGTAAGTTACTAGGTGCCTTCTACATTAGGAGGTGGCAAACTCAGCTGAAGTTCTGTGAAGCACAGTGGAACTGACAGATCAGAGCTGACTTCGCCTCACTGTGGTGTGAAGAGGGATGCCCAGAAAATACTTCAGGAATACTGCCCAGCAAAGACCGTCCCACAGCAAAACAAAGGCTCCCAACAAGCTAGGCATTGACAGGAGATTCCCATCTCCCTGAAGCCCTTCCATCTACCCACTCTTTCCTTTCCTTGTTGTAAACCAGGAATCACCCATGCCCTGAATTGTGTTCCGTCTCCAACTGGAAGCGGTGTGTCTATTCCCTTCCTCAGCCTTTAATCCTCATGCGATGCTAAGTAGTCTCTCTGTGTAAAACACCACTTCCTTCATGCTAAAAACAAGTCCTTTGAGTTCTTCCACGCGCCCAGAAACCCCTGGAATAAAGTTAATAGAGAGAAGCAGCATCACTTCTCCCCGTGGAAGGGGAGTGCTACAGCCAATCGTGTGGGTTCGGGGGGCTGGATGCCACTTCCTGCCTAAGCCATCATGACCCTTCTTTTTCTCCCACGAATGGAGCTTGACACGGGGCCTCTCTTGAGGAAGCTGTTTTATTTTATCTCATATCTTGATCGAACCTACATTACCAAAACTTGACTTTCTCCAAAGTCCACACCACACTCTGCAGGGTGTGCCCATGAGCAGGAAGAGCAGTGGCTGCCTAGCTGTAACTCCCCCTTGTCATTTATATAGCATGACCAGGAAGAGCAGTGGCTGCCTAGCTGTTACTCCCCCTTGTCATTTATATAGATGCTTCAATGTGCACAGAGCCCTTTTGCATTCTTCACCAATGGGCCCAGAGTTTCTGTGACTTTTGTCCCTCTTTTCTTCTTGATCTTAACTACTTAAAGCTTGGTATTTCAAAACCTAGATGCAGTGTAGCAACTTCTGTCTCTGCACTGAGGCAGGGACATGTAAACCATACTTGGATAAGGGGACACATCGCCAGTGTACTGAAGACCCCCCCTCCCCCAGCACTTGGGGTAGTCTTAGTTCCAGAACCTGTAAGCTTCTCTAGAGACAAACTCTCATACCTCATCCTGCAAGAGAGTCTTGCTATATTCCAGGTGATGTCGCTCTAAAATGGAAGTCCCATGAAGCTTTGCAAGTGGAGATGCTGACCTAGGAAGAAAAGGATACAGCATAGCTTTATCAGCTTAGAGATTACACAGAAGAAATCCATCCAATACAGCATCTTCACTCTTCTAAAGTGAAGTTCATGTCTTGTCTCCTTCCCTACTCAATGTCTATGAAATGGTCAAATACAAAATGTTGGGAAAGATTATTTTTAATTTAGAAGGTAAGAAAGTGTTACCTGTGAGGCATGGTGATGCATATCTTTAATCCTAGCACTTGGGAAGCAGGCAGATGGCTCTCTGTGAGTTCAAGGACAACTTGGTCTACTCTACATAAGGAATTTCAAGACAGTCAGAGCTACATAGTGAGACACTGTCTCCAAAAAGTAAAAAATAAGCGGGGGGAGAGGGGGCAGGGCCTCCAATATCTAAGTGGTTGAATTATTTGAATTATTTAAACTATTAAGTCTTATCTCTAAATATAAAATCTTAGGGTCCCTGGACTGTGATACTCCTATGACTTATGTAACATCCAGCAACTGTGGAAGTTCATGAACTGTCTGCATAGACTTCCATTAATAGTTTCCAAGCTGGGCCTGGGGGTCACAAACCTATTGAGGTAGGAGGATTACAAGATTGAGACCAGCCTGGGCTACATAGCAAGACCCTGTCTCAAAAACCATGAACTTAATTAATTAGTTAATTAATAATTCTAGGAAACAAATACAAGTTAGCATAAAGTGACATTTTTTTCCTCCCCATGACAATGCCATAAGTTCAAAAGTAAGATTCCCCATTTGTTAAGAACTAAAGGACAGCTCTCTTCAAGTGAGTACTCTACTTCTTTTTTTTTTTAAGAAGTTATTTATTTATTATGTATACAAAATTTTGCTTCCATGTATATCTACACACCAGAAGAGGGCACCAGATCTCATAACAGATGGTTGTGAGCCACCATGTGGTTGCTGGGAATTGAACTCAGGACCTCTGGAAGAGCAGTCAGTGCTCTTAACCTCTGAGCCATCTCTCCAGCCCCAGTACTCTACTTCTTGATACTATTTTTCTTCAATGCCTTCTGTGCCAGGAGGGGACGACACAGTGAACATAAAAAGGTAAAAAGAAGCCGAACCAGGGTGGTGCATGCCTTTAACCCCAACGCCCTGGAGGCAGAAGTAGGTGAATCTCTGTGAGTTCAAAACTAGCCTGATCTACAACAGCCAAGGTTGTTACACAGAGAAACCTTGTTTCAAACAAACAAACAAGCAAACAAACAAACAAACAAACAAACAAAAGCAAAAGAAAGAAAACGTGACAAGAGATTGAAACTAAAATTCTGCTATTACTATTCCATGGAAATAGTAATAAATCTTTTAAAGGATGATATGGCAGCTCTAGAGAATTTTCATTTCGCAAACAGAGAACAGAACTTTGTGGGGAGAGAGGCATTGCCAAGTCACCAGCAGGGCCAGTAACCCATATGATAATTGATCATTTAAAACAAATACTTCAGCATCTATACAATGTCAGCACTGGAGTTTTGTTTTTTGTTTTTTTTTTTTTAAGTTCAGTTTCAATTAGAAGAGAGTGAAATGTTTAATTCTTTTAGGACATTGCAGAAAACTCAGCACTAAATGGGATCCATATTCCATATGACCTCCTCCCAGGGCTCCAGGAATCACTACACAAAAGGGAACAAATGTCTAAAAGGGGACAGAAAGAGTCTGAGAACCAGAGGTACTGGATGACCCCAAGGAAATAATGTCTTCTAGACACAGCAGGGCAGCAGCTCCGATGAACTCGCACAGTGGTGGTGACATCATACACAAAACCTGTACAAGCCCAAGCCAGACCAAATCCCAGCATAGAGTAGGAGCTGAACACAAATCCCCACTCCTGGCCATAGAGCTATTGGCAGTTATTAGCGGCTGGGGGAAAGGAAGGGCCAGTTTTCTCTAAGTGTGAAGCCCCTGCAACATAGATCTGGCTCTAGTAGAAGACCACACATTGAAGAATATTTGGATGGCACAAGCTGGTTTTGGTGATAATAAGACACAAAGTTGGGTGGACGGGGAGAAGAAAAGGGTGGGTCTGGGAAGAGTCAGAACAAGCGGAGTAAATACGATTAACACTTGTACAAAAACTCAGAGAATTAACGAAAATTATTAAAAATTTAAATTGGTCAAATTTGTTATTGGGAAGCTAAATATCTACTCATTCTTGAAGTAACACGTGACACATGACTGTTACTGAGTTGGTGAATGCTCCACTACACAGAGAAATTAGCGAACAAGAGACAGCAGCATGCCCTTCTACACCAAAGGAGTTTAAGATTTCAGATAATGGGACACATTCATACCATGAGCCTCCTTACACCAATATCCCTAGGACACAGGGCACCTAGAAAGAACTGCCAAAAATACTTATGATGTATTTAATGATAAGGAAGCATTGAATATATCCAGATGGAAAGGGATGCTAGAGAATAACTTGCCTAGACTCTTCAAAAACAGTATCCTGAGACACAACGAGATGAAGAAACTACCTTAAATTAAAGGAGGATAAAGATAATCAACAATGATAAGCAACAAATAATCTTTGATCATATCTCGAATCAGTTTGGGGTGCTGTGAAGGACAGTATTGAGATAACTAGAAAAGTTATTACTTTTAATTTAATTAACTAATAATTAGTTTGCACTGAATAATTGCACAGCTGTAAAATTCCCTTGGGGTGGGAGTGGGGCCTGTGCCGTTTCTCTCTGCATACATTTCCTCTTATGCCTGGGGAGCACATGCTGAAATACTTAGGAACAAAATGCCTGCGTGATTACAAATGACTCACAAATACTTCGGTAACAAAAAAGAAGTAGAAAATGGTGTGATTTGTGCATGAGGGAATGGGGAGATTGGTTCTGTAATTGCTCAAACAGATGGTCTATAAATAATCACTGAGAGCATCAGAGATTTGGGATGAGAAAACGATGCCAAGGCAGTGTGAGACGCCCTTCTGTGGAAACCCAGTGACAGAGAGGAGGTGATTTCAGCCAGTCACTTGGGACAGCACCTCCCTCATAGAATCTTCCATGGATGCTGGGATATGGATTGTGTTCACCCAGCTTTCACGAATATAGCTGGAGGAGTACCCAGGAGTGTGGCTTCATTGACTGTCTCACAATGGATTTCCTGAAGCTTCTTTCCAGTCACGTGCCTGGAGCCCTGCCCTTGGCTCTGTTCTGAAGCGTGTTACTGACACTCAAATGAACATCAGTGGAAACATGACTACCTGATTTCCATATGACAAAAACCTGGGAGAAAAAAAGCTTAAACCATGGTCTGACAAAGTGTGACTTAAATGGATATTTATTTATTTATTTATTTATTTATTTATTTATTTATTTCCTTTATTCTTCTCTCATACATTACATCCTGGTCTCTACTTCCCCTCCCTCCACCCCTCCCGTTTCCCTCCCCCCCCTTCCCTCCTCCCCTGATCAATTCCTCCTCTGTTTCTCACACCAAAAAAGAGCAGGCCTCCCAGGGATATCTACCTGCATGGTCCAACAAGGTATAGTAAGACTGGGCACAGACCCTCATCACAGCTGGATACAGCAACCCAGTAGGATCAAAGGGGTCCCAAGTGCAGCAAGAGAGTCAGAGATAACCCCCCCCCTCTCTCTCTCTCTATCTCACCCACCCACACACCCACACACACACACACACACACACACACACACACACACACACACACACGCAAGCGCTTCCATTGTTGGGAGTCCCACGAGAACACCAAACTACAATTAAGAGCAGGTTAAGGAATTAAGGGCTGGTAAGATGGTTCAGTGGTTAAAGGTACTTGCCAATAAGCCTGAGTTTGATACCCAAAGGATCCACAGGACACACAGAGAGAACTGGCTCCTTCTGATCTCCAAATGTATGTGGTGGTACTCAAGCACACACAGACACACACACAGACACACACACACACACACACACACACACACACACACACACAAATCAATAAATGTAATTTTAACATTTTTTAGGGAGATGAAATTTCCGTAGGATTGAATATAGAGTACTTCAAGGCCTGTCTGGATTACCATGTCAAATTTGGGAATCCACACTTTTGAAATAACAGAAATACTGGAGTGAGTGCAGAGGCTCACGATAAACTATGTGGTGGGAACTACTGTTTAAAGAGTAGTTTAAGCTGGGCAGGGTGGTACATGCCTACAATCCCAGCATGCAGGAAGCTGAGGCAGGAGGGTCATGAGTTTGAGTCAGCTTACACTGTGTAGCGAGATCCTGTTCCTCCAAGGCAAATGCCTCAAAGTTTTCAAAACCTTAGTGTGTTCAGCCTGGAAAGGAAATATTTTGGTAAGAAAGATGTTATAATTCTTTTTAATACATGAAGGAGGGACAATGGGTGAGAAACCATGCTTATTCCTGCAGATCCAGAAGCCCAAACTAGGAGAAATACAAATTATATAGAGAGACCAATTTCGGTTCAATATCAAAGCGAGCAGACCATTGTTAGGATCATACCAGAATGGAGGGAGTCTCTGCCCTGTGAGCAGATGGGTCCTCCGTATGGAAAATAATCAAGGGCAGACTACAAAATACAAGAAGATGCATAGGGGAAATTGAAGGGAAGTCTATAATTCTTAATGTTTTTCTGCTAGCTGCTACATTTGTGCAAGAAGACAGAAATATCAGAGAACTAAAGGTAAGAGAGCAAAGGGGATGAGAGGGGAAAGAAATCTGCAGACATACACAGGATGAAACAACTGAGTGGCTGGGAAAACAAAGCGGGCAAAGAGTACACAGGAACTCGGAATAGTCAAAATGGGGAAACCGGAGCTTTCAGGTGTTGTCAGAGGGCATAGTCTGAGTCTGAGAGATAAGGGATTAGACATCCTGGAGGCAGGTGACCAGACCAAAGGTGCAGGGTCAAGCCAGGAGTCCCCTGTGTCCTGACAGCTTCTGGTCACTCGGCAGGTGGTCTTCCTGCTACAATCAAGAGTGCAAAGAATGATTCTGTCTTAGTCAACCTTTCCAGTGACTGCATTTGCCAATGGAGCAGTATCTCTGAGGAATCCTGAGCAATTCTTCCAATGCACAGTGCAGTAGGAGTCATGAAGGGGCTCACTGTGGACTCTTTTTTTCTTTTCTTTTTTTTTTGGGGGGGGGAAGTTTGGCACCATTTGATTCCAGGAACTTAGTAGAGCTGCCAGAGGGCTTAACCCATGCTGAGGATGAAGATGGGTTTGACCCCAGTCTGATGGCAAGAAACTCTTTTGTCAGCACACATTCCTCCTGCCCAGTTTGCAGAAGAGAAATCACTGGAAAACACCAACAGAAAAAGGAAACCAGGCCGTGGTGAGGCCCAGCCTGTGGCTCTATCCATCCTGAAAACCCACAGGCAAGAAGGTGCCTTATCTAGCTCTGCTGCTTACTGAAACCTAAGACAAGTCTGGCTTCATCCTTCTGAGTCTGTTTACTCATCCAGGAGAGAGGGGGAAATGTGAGGCAGTGGGAGATGAAACAAGGCAAGGCCTACTGTGTGCTCAGATCAGCCTCCAGCACACAGGAGATGTTTAACACACCGGGCATGGCGGCACACAGCTGCAATCCCAAGTGAGGTGGGAAGATGGTAAGGTTAAGGTTAGCCTTATATAGCTACACTACCTTAGAAAAGAAAGAAATGAAGAACTAAAGAAAGAAAATTAAGTGAAAAGAGATGCCCAATAAGTCTTAGTTTCTTTGGAGTAGAATGAGAGGACTCAACTCCCCCTTCCCCCCGCCCCAGGACCCTTGCCTTAGTGAGGACGCAATGGGCAGCCTGGGCTGGACCCTCAGGCGTGGTGATGTCCTGGGAATGAGCTTCAGTGGAGATGCTCCTCTCAAGATAGAGGCTGATAGCACAGTTGTTCAGAGTGTGAAGAGACTGCTCGGCATGCGCTTTTCACTCACAAGTGCCTTTATCTGAAGTCCGCCCCCTCGCCCCCCGCCACGCACACACACAGGTTTCATAGCAGTAATCTCACTTGCCTCCCACAGCAGCCTTTGACAGGTCAATGTCATACCCATTTTCCAGTTAAGAAACCGAGTCTCAGAATAAGTGAGTTGCCTAAGGTTTTATCCACCAGGAAGTAGTTGGAGCCCACAAGCCCACACACCAAAGTCTATCATCCGTGGAACACTTCAGGACCTCGGGAGGATGCTTGGTCACGAGTTAGATGTGTGGCTGAGGATTTTATATGCATAATTCCATCTAATCTTTGCAGCTGTGCATCATTATTATAATTCCTATAGTCCAGATGAAGAGATCGAGGCTTAGGAAGTGAAGGACTTACAAATCTAAATCTGTCTGGCACGCCTGCACCTGCATCATTACTTCCTTTCTCCAGCCAACAGAGGGAGATGGCATGAAGTTATGCTAGAAGAGCGGCCGAGAGGGGCGTGGTGGAACCAAAGGACCAGGGAGTGAAGAATCGCAAGCCCCCCAAAGACACATGTGTTAGCCTGAGCAGGAGCTTGACCCCTGGGTATATACTAGTGTAAGCCTAAGATTAATACACTCGGATATCTGAATCCAATACTCTGACTAAAGTTACTCGAACAAAGCTGAGGGAACCTCAGAGGTGGCAGCAGAAAGGATGAGGCCTAAAGCACTATGGGAGAACAGCAGATGCTGTCATGAGGTTATATAGCTCGAGAGGGACAGAATAGTCCTGAAACCATGAAGAGGCAGAGGGCGTGACTGGGCTGTGGCTCGTGGACGACAGGGGAGGTCTTTCTTCTCTCCCCAGGCCTCTCTGTCACCCCTCAGCACGTGTCAGCACAGTGCATGCACTCACTTACTTCATTTGGTACAAATTATTGGTGCCTCTGTGGTCGATATCATGGCAGAAGGCAGCAGCGAGCATGGCAAACGCTTCAAGGTCTGTATAGTACTTCTTTAGTCCCCCAGTCTAGAAAGATGTATGAGTACATATTGATAGAGGTCAGCACATCTCACACCCAGCACAGCCCAGTCTGACTGCAAGGGAGGCGGGGCTGGGGTGTCACCATGTTGCCACCACCAAAGACTAGTTTTGTATTTAGTGAGTCTTGCGTCATCCCAGGCAGTTTCAAAACCTAGGACGTATCTGGATTTTCCTTGAAAATGGCAAGCACATGCATTTCTGGTTGATAATCTAGCCACTTGCCCAGGGAGACCCATATCTCTGGTAGCGGCTGAAGAAGGGTGAGAGGCTGTGGGATCCCTGTCCATGAATGGTCAATGGTAGACCTGACACGACAGGCCATTCTCATTCCTTGTCATTTCTCAAGTGGGAACTAGTCAGAGTTGCAAATCCTTTCAGAGGCTTCCAGCATCGGTACCTACCAACAACAGGGTGAACATGGTCTGCCCCACATTGAATCCGTGCCGCCAGTTGTGGTAGGTGACAGGGCGGTACCCTTTCCGCACTGTGTACATCCACCTCGTAAGAACCTGTTACCCAAAGGCAACAACACTGTTCAGACTTTAGAACAGACTTCTAAAGGGTAGGAGGCTGGGGGGCATGCTTATCTAAAAAGCTGTGTTGGTCCTGTTGACAGAGTTTAAGCCGATGTATTCTCAAAGTTAATGATAATTTGAAATCCTAACTTGGGCTAATCTTTGGAACCGCAGAAAACACCAGTGAAGCACAGCAACAGAATCAAACCGCTTTTCAAGCAAAATGCTATCTGACCTCAACAGGTACTTTGAATTTCTCCACTGCATTTATCTCAAAAAACAGCCGCAGCCCGCATTTAACCAACTCGTGCTCTGTAACGGGGAAGTCGCTGAAACAGAACTCATACAGGTCTGTGGTTCTTGGGTCCGGCAAGTCCTCCTTCTGTTGAGAGGACAGATGGGTTCAGATTATGTTCAGCAGATGGCCCTATATGCCACACACCCAATATCGATGGTAAAGGGTTAATAGGAAGGGCTTCGGAGATGGCTGAGCAGCTCACGGTATATACCACCAGGCCTCATGACCTGAGTCCAGTCCCCAGAACCCACATGGTAAGAAGAGAACTGACTCCAGGAGTTAGTCTTTGGCCTCCACAGGTGCAATGTGGCACATGATCCAACCCCCACACCATACAACTAATTTATCAACTAATTAAAAACAGATACACTGAGAAAAAGTCCCTGAACCACACAGCCAAGTCTGCCTCTTGGTGCTTTCTCTTCGACAGTGTCGTGTCTCCCCGCCCTCCCTCCCTCCTGAAGCTACTAAGATAAACCTAGCCTTGGTCTTCCTAGACCCTGCGGCACCTCTTGAAGTCATCTAGTTTAGCTACGATTGTAAATGATCTTTGTGGGCTGATCTATATTGGACAATGATGGAGAAAATCGGGAAACCAAAAGATCAACCTTTAGAAGAAATCTTTCTTCCCAGTTTTGAAAAATGTGGAGGAAGAAGAAACTCCACATTTACTTGAAAAATGAGAATGTGTACTAAAAGAATGTGGGGATCAGAAGGAAGACACTTACCAGTAGGGCCAGTAGCTGTCTCTCTTCGCACTCTTCAATTACATCTACACATAACTTCTCTTTAAATTTCTAAAACGGAAAAGCAATAGAAGTGTGGGATTTCTACAAAGATTTCCATCTGCAGCCGGGCGTTGGAGGCAGAGGCAGAGGCAGAGGCAGAGGCAGAGGCAGAGGCAGATAGATCTCTGTGAGTTTCAAGACCAGCCTGGTCTACAAGAGCTAGTTCCAGGACAGCCTCCAAAGCCACAGAGAAACCCTGTCTCGAAAAACAAAACAAAACAAAACAAAAATCCAGTTTCAAAGATTTCCGACTGATCCCTCCACTATTAAAACCAGCTAAGATACAGTTAAAATCGGCTACACATCTGTTACACAGAAAGACATTCTGTATGGGAAGAGCCTTGCAGCAAGCGATTAGGAAGAACTAGACCAAAGAAATAACCTAATATGATTGAGTTCTCTCCCTTTCCAAAATGTAGCAGCGGCCATCTTAAAAGCATCATGGGCAGGCAAGAAAGGAAAGAAGGAAACAGAGTGGCTTGCATCTCCTGTTTTTCAAACAGCAGTTGTGCATGATTCATGACTATGTTCTCATCTTTATCATCTCAATACTTTAGTCAGATATCTTTTAACTCTTAATTGCTTCAGCAAAACAAAACCAATACCTCATACCACACTACACCTATATACACACTCAAAAAAAAAAAAATCTAGGAAAAAGAAAAGAATAAAAAGAAGCAGGTGGTCAGGCAGTAGTGGCACACACCTTTAATCCCAGCACTCAGGAGGCAGAGGCAGGTGGATCTCTGTAAGTTCGAGGCCAGCCTGGTCTACAGAGTGAATTCTAGGACAGCGGAAGCTACACAGAGAAACCCTATCTCAAAACAAACAAACACAAGTGATTATGTGATGTGGTTCCCCTTACTTTTGTAGTAATTGCAATATTGTCAGCAAAAACCCACTGGCTCCCTCAACAGAAGATAGTGGACTTGGTCTTGTGATTTGGTTTAGTCAGTGAGGCTTTTAGAGACTGCCATGTGAGCAAAGACTTTAAGTCACCAGGTTGCTGTTGGCCCACAAAAGTTGAGAGGTTGTGGAACAAACTAGACTCACAGCTTGGTCGCCGAGGTCAGTCAGAGTCCACAGCTATGTAAATAAAACATAGCTGCTTATTGCTGTAGGTGACTGAGGCAATACAACGGTTGTTACACAGCACTGAAGGACAATGGATGACTGATACATTGCTCTTCTTCAAAATATCATCTTCCTCACTAGTATACTTGAGTCTCGATGCCACTGCTTCTGCTCCTACACCCCCCAGGAGCTGTTTGTCACACAGTGCTATTGGGACACTGCAGTCTGGATTTCTAGGAAGGCTAGCTCACTGGCTGAGCAGCTCCTCCCTGAACCTCACTGTGTCTCCTGTCTTTATCCCAGAACTAAGCCTCTTCTCGTTGGTCTGACTTCCCAGTCACGAGGTGATTTCCAGAAGCTGAGGTTAAATGCCACCCACTGTCCACTGGACTGGACTCCCCACTCACCAAAATTGAGCCGATTTCATCAGGGGTGGCTTTTGTGCGGCTCATAATCATTTCCTGAGCAAGGTCCCTTCTGCTTTCCAGTCTGTTCACTCTCTCATAGGTGTCAGTGTTTAAAAGAGACCATCCAAGGAACTGGGTTAAAGTCTGAAGTGTAGGAAACAGTGAGTTAGATCCTCTAAAGTTAAAGAAAAGTGTCGTGGCACACAACAAGTGCACACTTTCCCGGAGTGATCTCCCTTCCACCACAACCAACCCAGTTCTTTTTTTAAAATTTACTTTTATTATTTTAACCATTGTTGGAGGATTTTATGTGTGCCCATATGTATTTTGGTCAAATCCACCTTTTTTCTCTTCTTTCCAATTTGCCTAGTGTACCACCACCACTTCTGCCTCTCAACTTCAGGTGCTCTGTGTTTAACCCAGTGGATCCGCTGAGCGCTGCCGGTATGTGCGTGGGTGTGGGAACATCTACTGGAGCATGGGTAGCATCTCAGGGTCTCTCTCTGGAAGAAAACTGTCTCTTCTCCTGAAGCCACCAATTTACAATTGCTCCTCAGCTATGGGGTGGTACTTCATGAGCCCTCCCTGACCCATGCTGACAATCCAGCTCTTTGTAGCAGCATAAGGAAAAAAAAATCTGAATTTATTGCCCAAACAGTAAGACTGACGAAGCTGTGCTTTCCAAAGTGCCATGCTTCCAGAATATTCTACTGCAGGCAAGGAATTACAAACAGAAAAAAAGAAAAAAAAAAAAACAGGACCTAAAAATCAGACAGGAATTTGAGGCCAAAGTGGGAGAGATTATAAAAGAAGAAGGGTGTGGGATAAAAGTATTTTTGTTGTTTTTATAGGTTTGGAAAGAATCTGGGTGAAATCAAAACTTTGTACTTGAACATAAAAGGTTTCAGTGTATAGAAATCCAAAAACGACACAACAGCATCTTGATTACAGCTGCAAGGCGCAGGTCTTAGTGTTCTTTGGAATGTCATTTGGACCAAGGAGTCCAAATGCAGCTGCCATCATTCCACGATGTTCAGATACATCTGTTGCTCTTCCCTACACTTACCTCGGTGATGTGCTCGTCATATTCGTCAAAGGGCTTCCCATCCTTCCTGTTATAAAATGTAGCCACTCCCACAATGTCTTCTTTCTTGTTAACGATAGGAAGGGACAAGACGTTTTTAATGACCCAGCCAGTTTCATCTACCGGTCCTTTCTATAAACAATAAGGGAACTTAAATTACTTTGATATTTTCACTTTTTAATTTTGAAACAACTATAGATTTACAAGATGTTTCAAAAGAAACGTACAGAGAAATCCATGAACTCTTCATTCAGTTCCCACCAAGGGAAACATCTCCTGTAACTGCAGTGCAAAACCAAAACCCAGGAAACAGACAATATAAAACCCACAGACCTTACTGGGGTCTCATTAGATTTATATGTGTCTTTGTTCTTGTGTGTTTGTTTAATCTCTTATGAAAAATTTCAACTGCTGTTAGAATCAATTGAAATATCCCATCACTACAATATACCCTTCCTACTATACCTACAACCACCACTCAGATTATTTTAAAGTAAATCCTGGGGTGAGTACATGGTTAGGATAAATATTCTAGGCCGTCCATTCAAATGTTCCAGAGCTAGGGCAACTGTGTTCTGACACTATAACTTTCCCCTTTGCTCCCCACTCCTAGGGATGGAAAGGGCTTCTTATCCAAATGTCATCTCTCTGCTTTCTTTGCTCTGTCTCCATCTTGCAACATTTGTGTAGTTAATTTCATATGTTAGGGTCTCTCCGTTGAAGTACTTAGTGCAATTTCTATCTAATCCATCAAGATAGTCTTTAAGTTTATGGTATGTTGTGATTACTAAAAAGTGTGACACCCTATGACAGCCAAGACCCAAACCAGTTGCTAGATTACAAGCAGTCAACCACAGGTCCTCCTATGTCAAGATGCTCCCATGCTCACTGGAGGGATCCAGACAAATAGCTTCAGAAGTGTTTTTCAAAATGTGACCCAAGGACCACAGTGTTGTGGGATATTACTTTTAACTAGGCAAAGATTTGTTACATTTGTTTATGCTTTGGAACGTTACTTGAACGTGTAAAGGTGTGTTACTTTTGTTTATGCTGCATTTATTTAATCATGTAAAGATGTATTGCATTTGTTTCACTTTGCCTGCCTAAGAGACCTGATTGGTCTAATAAAGAACTGAATGTCCAATAGCTAGGCAGAGAAAGGATAGGCGGGACTGGCAGGGAGAGAGAACATATAGGAGAAGAAATCTAGTCTTGAGAGGAGAATGAGAAGAAAGAGGGAGGAACACCAGGGACAAGAAGCCAGGCAGAAGCCAGACAGCCAGACATAGAGACAGCAGGAAAGTAAGATACATAGAACGAAAGAAGGTAAAAAAGCCCTGAGGCAAAATGTAGATGAAGAGAAACAGATTAAAATAAGGCTAAGCATTCATAACTAATATTAAGTCTCTGTGTCATGATTTGGGAGCTGGCTGGTGGCCCAAAAGAAAAAGCCTGGTACACCAGCAGCAATAGATTCTTAAAAAATTTTTTTTGTTTTTACATATACTTAAAATTTTTAGTTACATGTTGTTTCAAAGAAAATGCCCCCAAAGGGAGTGGCACTATTAGGAGGTGTGGCTTGTTGGAGTGGGTGTGGTTCTGTTGGAGGAAGTGTGTCACTGTGGAGGTTGGCTTTGAGGTCTTATATATGCTCAAGATACTGCCCAGTGTCTCAGACCACTTCCTGTTACCTGGGAAAGATGTAGAACCCTCAGTTCCTTCTCTCCAGCTCAAAGTCTACTGGCATGCTACCATATCTCACCATGATGATAATGGACTAAACCTCTGAAAATGTAAGCCACCCCAGTAAATGTTTTCATTTATAAGAGTTGCCATGGTCATGGTGTCTTTTCACAGAAATAATAGCCCTAACAGAGACACGTGTATATATGTGGGGTGGTGAGCAGGTGAGTGGACGTGTGTGTGTGTCTGTGCATGGGTTTGTGCATATACATATAACCTATTTATTGTTTATCGCCAGTCATTGTCCTTGAAGTGAAAAGCAGAGTGTGTGGGCCTTAAAGGTCAAAGCTTTAGAAACAAGGATGCAGTTTATACAGTGTTCCCAAGGTTCCTCCTAGGAAACTACCTAGGAGCCACATCCCTGTCCTTCAGGTATAATCTTAAACCTTACAAAATATGCTTTACTGGCTGCTTCTGGATGCTTTAGTAAATGTCTATTTACTACTTGTTCATCTTCATTTGTTTTACTGTTAATTAGAGATTTTGAATGCAAAGTGATAGAAGAAATCTAAAATTTAGGACAAAAACTTTAACTAGACAGTTCTATGTCCTCCTTCACCACTGCCTCAAATCCACCCCAGAGTTGAAGGTCTCTTTAAAGGAAGGCTTCCTTAGTATAATTCCAGGAACACTGGCTGGTAAGCAGAACAAAGACGCCCTGGCCAAAGATGCCTAGGCCTAATCCAGGACCTGTGAATGTGACCTTACAGATGAAATTAGAGTTATCAGTCAGTTAACTGAGACATAGAAATTACCCTGGATTTTACAGGAGGACAAATATAATAACCAAGAGCATTAAAAGCAGTGAAGTCAAAATCAGGGAAGGAACATCCCTCAGAGAAAGGTCTGGTGGTCCAGCTGCTGACGTGGAAGACAGAAAAGGCCATGGACCCATGGAATTCCAGCAGCCCATAGGACCCAAGGGTCTGGGAAAGTCAGGACACAGGCTCTTCCTAGCATCTTCCCAGAGGAACACCATCCTCTGACGTTGTGAGTTTAGTACAGCATGAAACATTTTATAGTCTAGCTTTCAGAAAAACAGGTTAATACTTAGCATGTTGTTTCCAGGTATTAGGGGTGCTTTGATGTTTGTTGTTTGTTGTTGTTACAATGCTATAGGAAACATATACATTGATCTCCAGGGACCACAGTTTGAGAATCATTACCTCTGTTGGTTTGTTCCCCAAACAGCTCATTTTCAATGTTTGGTTTTCGTGTCCCACATTTTTTGGTTACAATAGAGAATAATGAGAATCAGGATAAGGCATGAGAAGTAGAGTAAGAATGGGGAAGCAGATTGTGGAAGGAAGCTGATGCTCTGGGGACACCAGATGCCCCATCACGTATCTGCTCTGGGGACTGGCACACAGGGCCTGCTTGGGAGGGGACGTGGGGAAAGAGCTGGAAATGGTAGTTAGATAGACCGTGTCCTCCCCCGGCTATGGAGAAAAGGAAGGACCCGAAGATGAGTAAAATCACCTCAGCACAACTCTGGAAGAATACAGAGGGCTGCTGGGTTTTCCTAGGTCAATATTGCCCAGCAGAGACTTTAGGTTGCCTCCTGGAATGAGCCTGCCTTACTCAGTCACTGTCTGGGAGGCAGGGCTTGGAACAAACATGAGTGCAGAGTCCAGCAGTCCTGAACCATTGGGGTTCTGATGGGCACATTTAGTGTGCTGGTTTCTGGGAGACACAGGAGACTGGAGACTTGTTCCATTACAGGGACTCCTGAAGCCACAAGGCCACCCCCATCCTCTTCATAGTGTGGCTCCAGGGCCCCTCACACCTCAGTGGGCACCTGCTAATGCTGGATGAACTCCATCCGCATTAATTCCACAGCAGCTACTCCAAGTTCAGAGACTTGAAAATTCACTGTTCACCTTTCTTACAGGGGCAGTCTATCCTGACACACAATTGCTGCAGATTTAGAGGCCAGGGCTGGGCACAACACAATCACAAGCAGGCTCTAGTTACAGGAAGGGAGGGACAAAAAGCAAGAGGACCATATGGTGTTTGAGGGTTTCCACATCAGTAAACAAAGGGATGGGCAGGGAGAGCTAGGGGAAACCTCCATTTAACCAAACAGCTGTGTACAGGTTTTCCCAAGACAGGGCTTAGTTTGCAGCTGTGGCAGGATCACCTAAGGAAGATAGTAGCTCTTCCATTCAGGCATCAAAGGGATTCCATGTGTCTGCACAGCACAGAGAAGACAAACATTAACAGTGCTCCCTGGAGAGGACAGTCTCTACTCCTGACTCAGATCAGGGCTTTAATGTTTAGGAAATGCAGAACACGGAGTGCCAGCATGCATAGAAGATGGGTTGCAGCAATCTGGTACAGCAATTTCATCTAGTTCTACAAAGGGACCAGGAAGGTCAAGCAGAGGTGATGAGTAGGTCCTTTTGGAGAATTAGATAAAGCTAGAAAGAAGATGAACTCCAAAATCCTATCACTGCTATCATCTCCTTTCTGCTGCTGCAATAGAATATTACAGGCTGGGGAATTTATAAAGAAAAAAGTGAATTTGTTTCTCACAGTTTGAGAGACTGAGAGGTCTAAGAGCACAGTTCCATAACCTCAGAGGGGCTGCTCACTACATGATAACAGGGCAGAGAACATCACAGGACAAGAGTGCCTGAAAATGCCAGCTTACGTCTCCCTTCCTTTTCTTGGGAAGCTAGTGATACCTTGTACCTTCTGGCTTCACCCTCATCTATCCAAATTACCTCTAAATGCACCCAAGAAATAGTATGTATATGAATTGGGGGATTAAACCTTCAACACATAGACTCTAAGACTCTAACCACAGCTGTGACAGTGGGCAGAAGTGGGTTAGCCCAGACAGAAAATACAGAGGAACTGGTTGGGGGGCTTTTCTGTGGTAAGTGGAGGAAGATTCTCTCAGAAGTAGGTTTCTGAATGGTGGTTAAGAGAGGGTAAAATCTAGGGTCCTTAAGAATTTTTGTTTTCTTATTTAGATCATAGTTACAGTACACTGTAGAAAGGCCCCACAGGGTTGAGTGTGAGCCAATGTCTCCAGCCAACCGTTCATGCACACAGAGCTATGGAGGAGCCCTTTCACACATCAAGCTGTTGCTGTCCCTAGAGAACCAAGAATGGAAGGGAATGGGAGTGTGTCAGCATGCACTCGTGTGTGCGCACACACACACACACACACACCTCCCTTCTTCTCTGCTTCATGATGGTCATTGACCCAGCTGGAGTTTTGCAACTTGGGCCCCATGTGTGCCTACTGACGATACCTGAGGCCAGAGTAAAGCAGACTCTATGGATAAAGAGGAGAGCGAGCACCCACCTTGCCTCCAGGGATGAGGCAGAGTCATGGCCGCCCTTACCTGAAATGTGAAATACTCATCTGCTGGGGCATTCAGCATGTTGCAGATCTGTGAAGCAAGAGACAGAGTCCTTCTGAAGCATGGTGAAGATCATGATGCTGGGGCCACATTAGCCCACCTTGGGGAAGGGGAAGGAGTGTGTGTGGAGTGAGAGTTTCCCACTCGACACTTGGCAGCTTGGTAAACACATTAACACACACTCCCTAGGTTAGACCACATCTAGTTAGCCTAGGTTAAGCTCGCTGAAGTCACTCCTCTTCTGCTACCTCACTGACTGACATTTAGTGCCATCTTTTCTCCTCTCTACTTTCCCGCCTTCATTGCTGCCCTTTGACTTGCAAACAACTCCTCAGCCCAAGCAAAGGAGAAAGGTGAACAGAAAGACCATCCTGCTGAGGCAGGTGTTAGTGGGCGCTGGGCTTGCTTTCTATTCTTTCATAAAGTAAGGTGGCTGAGGGGTAAGAGGAAAAGGCCAGGCAGTGTTTTAGTCACTCCAAAGTAAGAATTCCCTGTGAGACAGTGCTCTGGAAGACAGAATTCAGAGACTGCTGCTCATATCCATGTTGAGTTGCTCTGAATCATCTGTACCTGGGTCTTATGCACAAACAGGTCTTAACACAATATTTAACACCAAGTTCAACAGATGGCATGCTAAGCCTGAATGGCAATGGTTGAGCAGTCCTTCCCTTTTAAAGATGAGGACATTGAAGTCCAAAGGAGTCTAGTGCTCTGTTCAAATTCGCTGAATGAAACTCGAATTGTTATCTCCAAAGAGGGCTGGTGGGATGGGTTCTCCTGGCTAGGGTTTAGGGAGAACCCTGGGGTTGTATAAGTTGCCCATTCACCTGGTGTAAACACTTCTACCATGGAGGGTTCAGGCTACCAACATTTACCTGCTCACAAAATTCCTGAAAAAAAAAAAAAAAAAAAAAAAAAAAAAAAAAAAAACAAAAAAAAAAAAAAAAAAAAAAAAAAAAAAAAAAAAAACCTAACAATTTTAGGTGAGATCTGAAGGATTATCTCTCACCCATCACTCAAAGCTCTGTGAGCCATGGAAACTGCTTCTGATGAGTGCTTTCTAAGAGTGGATGGGACATATCTACTCTTTTTACAGTAGCCTTACTAAGAAAATGTGGAAATCTTCCAAAGCTTTTGTTTATTTTTTGGTGCATATTTTCTTTGGGTTTTTTGTTTGTTTGTTTACTTGTTTCTTTGTGTGAATCTGGATTTCCCTATGCATCTCTGCAGTGGGTGGGATTAGCAATGCTTTATAGTCAGCCTCCTCACTGCTGGGGTCACAGGCATGTACTCCCCACACATGCTCTGTCTTGCTGTTTCTATGGGTATTGGTAATTAAGAACTTGAGGACTCTTCGGTGCCATTGTTAATTTCATGATCTAATTTGAATGTTTGGCATTTCATGGACCACGGACCTCAAGAGTGTGGCTTAAAGATGCAAACCCACCGGTTCTTTTCTTCTAACCTTTCTGTCATGGCCATGTTTTTCAGCCTTTGCTGTAAGGCTTTGGAGAAAATGTTCATAGTCAGTAAGACCACAGAGCACTTGAGATGGGCTTGACCTATCTCAAGTCACAGCCCCTGTCTTTGAATACCCTGCTTTAAATGGATGTCTGAAAATTGTGCTCATGAGAAATGGATGAATCTTTCTTAAGTTAACTAAACATTTTCATATGATTTCAATGCCCTGATTAACTTACATCATCTTTTCCGCTATGCCTTCCCTTTCTCCTGCGCTAAAGAAAGTAATCTAACCCTTATCTCATGTGTTCTTGGTTCAACTTATATTTACTTTGTAACAAATAAGAGTTTTACACACTGTTATTTAGCATTTTAGTTTGTCTAATGACTTACAAATCCATTTTCAGCAACATATGTTGGCAATCCACTGAGGAGTGTCCAGTGGTCTGCAGGCGGTGACCTTGGAGAAGATTAGAAAAGTCATTGGCATACACAGAAATGATCAGGTACAAAACCCCAGGGGCAAGTCCCATGGTTGCTTTAGGGAAACACTCACGGAATCACGTTGATCTCTTCTTTTCCATGTAAAATGTAATCGATGATTTTATAAAAGATGATTTCCTAGGAGGGAAGGAGATTGTGGGCACAGTATTACTTCCCAAAGAAAACAATCGTCACTGGAGAATGTGTGCTTTGAAATTCTTATAAATAGCACCTAGTTTCCTAGCCACCGTTTTCTGTATAATGTAACTTACTAAACAAGGTATATGTTAGTGACAGGCTTATAATCAAACAAGAGACGGTATTGACTGTACACAAACAATAAGAGTGGGCCTAATGTCATTTTAAAAAGCTGAATTTACCCAAATAGCTTTTGGGGGAATCTGATAACCAAACCACCAGCAACTCTGTCTTTACTTTTAACAGATTGCTTCTTGTTGTCCAGCCGCAGCTGACATTAACAACTTCAATAGGGAAAAAAAATCAAATCCTTGATAAACTGCAAGCAGACATTGACTGTGCAACGAATACACAGCTCTTCTTTCTCTCACGGTTTATCTCAGAAGCCACCTCCACAGTGGAGGGCAGTGCTGGAAGGGACTGGGGCAGATGAAGAATCTGGGGCCCAACAAGCCCGTCAACTTCTGTTTCCCATGGGCTGAGAATACGGTGGTGGAGTAGCAAATACACTCCCTGCCTCCATGATGCTTGTAATTGAGTGTGGCTGTAAACCTAACCCAACCCCCAGGGGGTCCCCATCCTGCACAGGTGAAAAAGGGCCCAAGCATTTCTTAAAACATTGTGCTGCCAGGTGGAGGTGGCACAGGCCTTTAATCCCAGCACTCAGGAGGCAGAGGCAGGCGGATCTCTGTGAGTTCGAGACCAGCCTGGTCTACAGAGTGAGTGCCAGGACAGGCTCCAAAGCCACAGAGAAACCCGGTCTCAAAAAACAAAACAAGCAACAACATTGTGCCAGTGGCTCTGATGCCTCCCTGATGAAGAGAACTGCAGACCCACCCACCAAGTTTGGGGTTTGTGGTAAAGGAAAGCAAGAGTTTAATGAGATGTTAAGGTCCACCCTGCTGTGTGGGACAGAGCTTGGCAGAGTCCCAGTGAAATTTCTTTCCTCCGTGCACTTCAATTTCTTGGCACTGTACCCAGACATCACTAAAGAAGATGTTCAAATTTACCCTGCCATCTGGAGTCTTTGGTCCTTTATAAGGTTCAACTTCTCCAAGCTTGATTGGCCACTCATCATAAAATTCCTGGAGGCAATTATATTTAAATATTATTAAACAAACTGTCCCAACATTCACCATACCTGATCTAAAATATATGCACTCACATATTTTATGTTAATTTGCATAGTTCTGGAATTTTAGACTTGAAAAAAAACCTATAATTCTCAGCAATATTGCTTATGAACCTGTGACTATGTAAAGTTGCTTAGCTTTTATTCGTCTGTAAAATGGGGATAGCACAACTTCAGCTTGCTGTGAAGATTAAATGAACAATATATGCCAAACACTTGCTTATAGTTCAAAGAATTCCATGTATAGCATCTGTTTTGTAGACAACCAAATTAAGGCCAGGTAGGTTAAGAAATTTAGTTAAGGTCACTCAGAGCAGTCAGCAGTGTCAATTGCCTTAACTAACACCCATTCTCCCCCATTTTGCTAGTTGAACCCCATTTCATTTGGATATCAGGTAATAATTTGTTTAGGAAGAAAAGGTCCTATCCAGCCCATAAGAGGTCTACACGAAGCACCCAGATTAATTTCAGGTATGTGGCTTGGTTTAGACCAGTGAATGGGTCGGGGGGAGTCTGCTAAAGGGCTACCAGATAAAGGTGTTTCTCAGATGAAAAGTGATATTTCCCTTGTAGCCAGAAGCATCCTAAGCAATATCTTCAGTCCCACGGCTGCTGTTAGAACCCTGCTCTTCTGCTGCCTGGTCCTATGTTGCCCGCTTAGAACACTGACTTTGAAAAACAATTGCCAATCACATGAATAGTAAGAAATAGAAATGATACCGAGTCAGTTATATTGAAATCCCAAACTTCCAAGAGAATCAAAGATGAGAGTGGGTGTCACACTGTGAACAATTTGTTTGTTTCTTTCTACTTTAGGATAATTTTTTCAGATACAAAATGTCGAACAGGTACTAACATTTATTTTGCACCTACAGTGTACTCAATGCCTTATAGCTCTCTGATTTCCAAAGCTAAAAAAAGAGAAGTCCCCACTTTGCTGATGAGAAAGTCAAGAACCAGGGCAATGGAAAACCTTGCTGGAATGAAGGACAGAGAGCTGGCAGCACCTGACTTCAAGCCCTGCGTTAGAGCTGTAGCAACCCCAAGGCCTGCATTAGAGCCTTAGCAACCCCAAGCCCTGCATTAGAGCTGTAGCAACCCCAAGCCCTACTTTAAAGCCGTAGCAACCCCAAGCCCTGCATTAGAGCTGTAGCAACCCCAAGCCCTGCATTAGAGCTGTAGCAACCCCAAGCCCTGCGTTAGAGCTGTAGCAACTCAAGCCCTGCGTTAGAGCTGTAGCAACCTCAAACCCTGCATTAGAGTTTTTGCGACACAGGCAGTGTGGTATCAGCAAAGGAGAGAGAAATCAGTGAGTGGAAGACAGGGGAAAAGCAGGCCCACACAAATGTAGCCAAGATCTTTGGCAGAAAAGCAAAAAATATTGAGATAAGCTAGTCTATTCAACAAATTGTATTGGAACAATGACATCCAGGAACAAAAGAAATCTTGTTTCTTTAATTAAAAAAAATCTCTGAATGACTTATAGTTCTATTAACTATAAACAAAACTATAAGAATTCTGGAAGTTGATATGGGAGAAAAATCTAGATGAGCCTGAGTTTGGAGAGACTTTTTAGACACAGAACCAGGGCACAATATATAAAGAAAAAAACTATTGGACAGTATTAATTTAAAACATCTGCTATAGAAATGTTCTTCACAAAAATGTGAAAAGACTGGGGAAAATATTTGTAATACAGGACTAGTATCCAGAATATTCTCTAATTTATTCAGGCTGGTCTTAAGTTCAAGTTATTCCCCTGCCTCCAGAGTGCTGGGATTGTAAATACACACAATCACTTCTGATTGCAAAGATCTTTTGAAATCATCAGGAAGCAGAGAAGTCAACTTAAAAATGGGCAAGATGAGAAATACCATGGAAAGTAAGCACATGAAAATTGTTCAAACTTATGTGGCTGGGGACTGCAAATTCAAACGAAGATGCACCACCACGTGTCTTGAAGTGGATGAAACCCAAATACAGAGACCACTAACTCTTGGGAGGGACGTAGATATGCAAAAGGATGGTCACTTGGGAAGATAGAGTGACAGTGCTTTACAAAGATAAACAGTCTTCCCGGATTATCAAACAACTGGACTTTCTGCCATTTACTCAAGTGAGTTGAAAATATGTGTACACAAAAACCCATACATGATGCCTACAGCAGCTTTATTCATGATTGCCCCAAATTAGAAGCAATGATAATGTCCTTCACTATGTGAGAAACAGGCTGCCTTAGGATGCACTACTATTCACTAACAAAAATATATGAGCTCTAGCAAGGATGTGGAATTGACCTAAATGTCTAGCATCAAATTAATGGATAAAGAAAATGTAGAGCATATACTCAATGATATACTATCCAGCTAGAAAAGAAAAGAAAGAAAACATGTGTCATCGTGACAGTGGTAGTAAACCTGGAGAGCTATGCTGAGAGAAATGGGCTAGGCACTGAAAGACAAACGTACGGTTCAATGTACACGTGGAATCTGAAAAAGTCAAACACAGAAGCAGAGGGTAGAATGTAGTTACCAGAAGCTTGGGAGTAGGCCATTGTCAGGACAGGAAGGAGCTGTACAAATACCACAGTGTTCCAGCCAGGCAGTAAGTTTGCAGGATTTATTACAGAAAAACACAACCAAAGTGAATAGGTACTATATATTTGAAAGCTGATAAAAGACTAGATTTAAATGGTATCGCCACTATGTAAAGTGGTCAACATGTCAACTACTTTCCTGTAACCATCTCATAATGTATACATATATGAAAATATCACACTGTACCCCATAAATATGTGCAACTGTCACTTAAGATATAAAAATTTTAAATGAGTTATCAGAAAGTTAGGCATGGTAGTGCATGCCTGTAATTCTAGAACTCAGAAGGCTACGACAGGAGCATTGTCTTGAATTTGAGGCTACCCTGGAGCTAAATATAGTGACTACTAGGTGATTTGGGGCTACATATTGAGACTCTGTCTCAAGAAGATAACAAAGGCACATTAGAGAAGGAGCATAAGAGAGACAAATGAGAGCCAGCCTCAGACCATCAGCCTTTGTAGCCTATGTCTCCACCCAGCTTTCTCTCCCCCTCTTCTCTCCCACCTGTGTTTAGTACCCAAGGTCATCTTAGCAGGCCGTCGCAACTCTGTTCCTGCCCTACATTGCTTGCTTTCCTTCTCATTTTAGATTTGCCTCTTCTTTTTCTTTTACTCTTTTCTCTTCCCAAAGAACATGATCTGCCTGTCTTGCAGGGTCCCTGTGCCCCAGCCTTCTGAGACAAGACTATTCTACATTGTCCTATAGCATGTCTTTATTCCTCTTGAGTCTACATCTCACCTAATTTACCTCATTGCCCTGACTTTTTTGCCCTCTTCCACTTTTTTCTGTCTCCCCAATGTTACGTGTCTTACTGTGATTTCTTCTTATTCTCCCTGACACTGCTGGAACCCATGATATCTAGTCTAGTAATGCTAGACTAGTAATTGATAACATCTAGTCTAGTAATTGATAATATCTAGTCTAGTAATTGATAACATAGTGTTATCAATCCCCCTTTATTTCCTAAAATGATTAGTACTTAAGGGTGATCGTGACACAATCAACTATTATTCTATTTACCTAGTGCATCTACCTACCTCTGGATATCCATTGTTGTTACAGGGTAGGGCTGGGAATAGAGTCTGGTTCCCTGGTGTTTTACAAAGAAGAATGACGCCTCAACTTCCTATGACCTAGCCTCTTCTGGATATTGCTAACACTCCCAACTGGAGGGGGGGAAAGGTGACCTAAATTTAAAATATTTTAAAAAAATACAATCAACAGTCTAACTCCTGATATACAAATCTCAATACAAAACACATGAAAACTCAAGACAACAAATCTAACAAATGTCACAGTAAATGCTCCCAATGACAGTGATTTAGAAGAAATTCTAGACAAAGAGTTTCCAAAGGAGTAAGGATAAATATGTTCAAAGAGATGAAAGAAGACAAAGGTAGATGCCTGAGTAAATTTCATGAGAACATAGAAGCAGTTGGATGAAATAAGGAAGTCAATGTAAGATATGAAAATGAAGTGTGATAAAGAGACAAACACACTGAAGAAAAACCAAGCTGAAATGATGCTGGAAACGAAAGTTTCACTAAGACAAATAAAATGTTCAAAGAACAACCTCACTAATAGAATGGTTCACAGGAAGGGGGAACATCAGGACTTGAAGACAAGATATAGGAATTGGTACATTTAGTTGAAAACAACAATAAATATACATAAAATACAAAGAGCATATGCAAGAATTTTGGGACACCGTGAAAAGATCAAATCTATTAATTATTGTCATAGAAGGAGAATAGCACCATGCAAATGGCATAGAAAATGTTTTCAATGCAATCAGAAGAAAATTGCCTGAACCTAGAGAAAGAGAAGCCCACCTAAGTAGAAGAGGCATATAAAAATCCAAATAGGCAAGACCATGAAAAACAACACACACACAAAAACTCCCTACATCACATCACAGTTAAAACACTGACTATATAGCACAAGGAACATTGCAGAAAGACAGAAAAATGTCACATACAAAAGCAGGTTCACAAGAATAACAGCTGACCCCTCAAAAGAAACTTCCAAAGACAGAAGGGCAGGGAAAAGTGTATTTCAAATTCTGAAAAACAACAGCTGCCAACCCAGCTTCCATACCCTGCAAAATTATCTATTATAACCAATGTAGAAATAAAAGCATTAATGATAGAAGCAGGCTAAAGGAGTTTGTGATTGCTAAGCCAGCTCTGCAGAGGATATTAGGCAGAATTTTTCAGACTTGGAAAATAGGGGAAAAAAATAAAGGGGATATAACTGTGGTTAAGCAAATGAGGATTAGCAAGACACCAGATGCTACATAATCAACAAAATGACAAGAATTATTACACACCTTTAAATAATAACTCTTCAACGTCTTAGTTCCCAAATCAGAAGAGACAGACTAGCACATTAAGAGAAAAAAAAGCAGAATCCATTTTGTTTCTGCCTCCAAGAAACACACTTTACCTTCAAAAACAGATTCTGTGTTATGGCAAAGGGATGGAAAAGGGTATTCCAAGCAAAAAGAACCAGGGAATGGGAGTCGGTATCTTGGCATTTGACAATATATAGTTCAAACCAATTTAATTCGGAAGAGATGTGTCATTTCTGTAAAGTAATTACATAAGAAATAAGAAAAGGTTACTCCCTTTAGATCATAGAATTTGCAAATCAAGTTTTCTCTTCAAAACATTTGCAGTTCTAAATGTATATACAACAAACATAGGTGCACACAATTTCATAACACACTATGTAAAGTCACAGATTAACCTTAACACAGCAATAGTATTTCAATATCCTACTCACATAAACAAGTCATCCTGACAAGAAATATGGAGATCAGGAAGTTATGTGATATCCTATATAAAATGGACTTAATAGATGTCTCCAGAACATTCTATCTGAACACTACAGAATCCACGTTCTTCTCAGCAGCCCATGGAACTTTCTCTAAAATAAGATCACACATTAGGGCACAATGTAAGTGGATTGCTTTTCTGTTGTTGTGTAAAATAGCATGACCAAAAGCTTCTGATGGAAGAAAAAAGCTTTATTTTAGCTCATAGTTTCAGAGGGATGGAGTCCATGATGACAGGAAAGGCATGGCTTGGTGGCAGGAGCAGGAAGCTGAGGGATCATATTACCACTCACACATGGGGGTAAAAAGAGAGAACAGGAAGTGGACAATCCTATAAACTTCAAAGCCTCCTGCTTTCGCCACCAGTGGTGGGCTTCCTCCAGTGAGGCTCCACTTCCTAAAGGTTCCATAACCTCCAGAAACAGCACTACCAACTGGAGAACAAGTGTTAACACATATGAACCCATGAAAGACGTTGTTCATTCAAACTGCCACAATACTTATCAACAAATATATGAAATTTGAAATAGCCTCTTGTATTATTACTGACAATATTGAATAATGCTAGAAATCAACAGTAAAAGAATGCCTAGAAAACACACAAATTTAGGGAGATTACAACTGAATGATGACTTGTCACTAAAGAAGGAAATTAGAAAATTGCTAGAATCGAAAGAAAATGAAGATATACCCAAACCAGTGGGACACAATGGAAGTAGTTCTAAAAGGGAATCACAGCTGCAAGCGCCTACATTAAAAACAAAACAAAACAAAACAGAGATTTCTCAAACAAACAACTTAACAGTGCACCTTAGGACCTTGAAAAAACAAGAACAAGTCAAACCCAAAAGCAGTACACAAAAAGAAAATTTATGGAAGAAATTAATGAAAGAAAAATTTGAAAAACAAATAATCAATGAAACAAACAGTTGGAACAGTTGGGTCTTTCAAAAGATAAACAGGAGTAACAAACTATTAGCCAAACTAATAGGGTCTCTCTCTCTCTCTCTCTCTCTCTCTCTCTCTCTCTCTCTGTGTGTGTGTGTGTGTGTGTGTGAGAGAGAGAGAGAGAGAGAGAGAGAGAGAGAGAGAGAGAGAGAGAGAGAGAGAGAGAGAGAGAGAGAGAGAGAGAATGCCCATGTTAATAAAACTGGAGAAGAAACAGGGATATTACAATAGCTACCATGCAAATGAAAAAAAAAACTACTAAGAACATTTATATTCCACAAAATGGGGGGTGCCTAAAGAAATGAGTGAGTTAGATGAGTATGGCCTGCCTATCAAAGTTAAACCAAAAGAGATTAGTAATTTAAACAGATGTGTAGCAAACAACAAGATTCAAGCAGTAATAAAAAAATGTCTCCAAACTAAAAAAAAAAAAAAAAAAAAAAAAAAGTCCCCAAAAAAAAAAAAAAAAAAAAAAAAAAAAAAAGTGCAGAACCAAGTGGATTTACTACAGAACTCTAGCAGACTTCTGCAAAGAGCTAACACCAATCCTTTCAAATTATTCCACAAAACAAAGAAGGGAGAAATGCTTCTAAACTTATTTTGCAAAACCAATATTATCATGTTACCCTAGTATCCAAATAACACACACATACATATACTCATTACAGGTCAGTTTCCCTGATAAACATAGATACAAAAATTCCAAATGAAATATTTGCAAACTGAACTCAAGAACACATCCAAAAGATTATTCATCATGATCAAGTTGGCTTGAAGTGCAGACAGTTCAATACATGTAAATCAATGGATGTAATTCATCATATACATGAACTCAAGTACAGAAATCACATGGTTATTTAATAGAAGCAGAAAAAAATTGACAAAATGTAACATCCTTTCTAATAAAAGCCCTGAAGAAACTAGGAATGAAAGGAACATATCTCAACATAATAAAGAACGTGTAGGATAAACTACAGCCAACATTGTGTTAAATGGGAAAAATCTAGAAACATTTCTACTAAGACCAAGAAAAAGACAAGAATGTCCACTTTTCCCACTCCTATTCAATACAATGCTTGAAGTCTTAGCTAAGACAATAAAACAAGGGAATGAAAGAAAAGGAACACAAACAGGAAAGGAAGAAGTCAACGTACCCATATTTGAAGATGACATGATCCTATACATGAAAGACCCCAATGACTCCACCCGAAAAACCTTTAGAGCAGACGGACACATTCCTCTAAGTGGGAGGCTAGTGGCCTTCCTATACATAAATGGTTCTTAAAGCTGAGCTACTCTGTATACAACACAGGAATGTAACATTTTAACAATAGGAAATCTAATGGTGGGAGATGATACTGGGATTCTGTACTTCATGCTCCATTGATTATAAGCATAAAGCTAGCCTAAACTTAAAGGCTAATAATTAATCAAAACAAGAGACTTGCTGGTGATCGATACAGGTATGGGATAGATCGGCCAAATCTTAAGCCTGTGTCACTTTGCTCCTTGTTGCTCACATTAGCCTCTGCCCCGAGTCTTTGAACACTCGATCTTGCTATCAGTCATGACTGGTTATTTACATGCATATCTATTTGCCAATGGACCATGTTTCATTTTGGTATGCACTCATTTTGGTGACCTGAGAGGAGACGAGACATATGGAACATGAAAACCTTCTCCTTGGTCATGTCCAGAAGACCAATGGAATAGCGCTCGCAGTTCAGGTATGTTCTGATGGTGTACAGTGCTTTATGAAACTGCCGCTCAACATCGGTGAGCTCTTCAAACACTTTATTGGCTGACCACATAAGGATCTGAAAGTGAGCATTAAAAAAAAAAGAACAAAATGAGAGTGGGGAGGGAAAGGGAGAGAGACAGATGCAGAGAGAATATTAGTTCAAAAAAACCATGAAGTGTATCAAAAGATGAACACATCTCACAAGAAACTGCAGCTCTATTTTAAACCTCCAACAAGTACCATGGGTTCTCTACGTGGGGTGATATATAACCATGGGTCATAAATCCATGACCTTTTCCAAGCCATGGGTTTATGAAAGGAGAGGACACATGATCAGTCTAGCATAAAGAACAAATGCTCTCAATCTTTACAAAGGGTTCAGTATCAGTGGGCTGCCAATGGACCTCAATGGGTAGGAAGTCACATGGCTCCTCCATGCATCCTTAGCTAGTCAGAATTAGCCTAACCTGGAAAGCTGGAATAGGGAGGGACCTTAGACACATTCATCCCAAGGCCGGCTCCTGTATTATATGGATGAGGGACCTGAGGGTCCTAGCTGCAGATATTCCTCTTTACTCCTCTATCTTCTGGAAACAATAAACCACCAATGAACGACTCTTTTCTTACAATGACCCTGGAACTAAGAGCTTTAAGCAAGAACTTATGACAATTTAAAGTCATCCCAACCATAAGAGATGGGTAATGAAATCACCACCATTACCTGGCTTCTCCGGGACTCCACACTGTACAGGTAGCCAGTGTGCTGCAGCCTTAGGGCAACAGCAACAAAGCTGAGATACTTGGAAAAGACCTACAGGCCACAGAGAGGAACAGGTTACGGTTGAGGTCCCTTCTTATGGTGCTACAAGTCACTTCCTGTGTGTGTGGTGGGGCACTGTGTTAGCATTACCTCCTCGTCCTGTTTGGAAAACTCAGGAGCATTGATTTTGTTCACCGCCATGACCACAGCAAGGACCTCCTTTCCCATCACAATCGGGACTGCCAGCAGGTTCTTGGTGACATATCCAGTTTGCTTGTCCATGAAGTCAGAAAAATGGCTGTTCTGGGGGAAAAAAATGTCCACGAGCTTGCCAAAATAGGACAGAATCATAGAGTGGTAACTCTAAGACACTTTCTAATTAAAATCCTACCAACAGATGGCAGGGGCTCCAGTTCAGTGGTTCTGCCCCCAACCCCTACCCCATGTCTTTCTATGACCAGCGTGCGATGAAACTGTCCATGTTGGAATGCGCATTTCCCACCCAAGAAGCAGCTTATCTGGAGCAGGCACAGGTTGGGCCGGGAGGAAAGAGGTGGTATCACAACCTGGTAGAAAGTGAGTTAGGTGTTAAGAAGATGAAAAGTGGGCCACAGGGTTACAGGACTGTGTGCAGGGAGGGGAAGCACACTGGACACCGGGGACAGCAGTCTTTAACGGCAAATGCAATAGAAAAAGATCAGTCATCTCTCAAGACCACTGTTTCTCAACCTGTGGGTTGCAACCCCCTTGACAAACCTCTCTCTCCAAAAATATTTACATTACAATGCAGAACAATAGCAAAATTACAGTTATGAAGTAGCGACAAAAATGATTTTATGGCTGGGGATCACCACAACTGGAACTAATAAAGGTTTGCAACATTAGGAAGATTGAGAACCACTGCTTAAGAGCCCCTCCCACTTGAGGAATTTAGTCGTGACTGCTTGGTAACCTCCTTCCAGATCTTTCTCTGTGATTTGACAAAGATGTCTCTATTTTCTATTTATTTGTCTAATTTTATGTGATACTTTTATCACTTAATCTCATCTTAGGGACTTCCCTCCAGAGGGAGGACTGTGGCTGTGGACTCCCCTCTTAGATTTCTAAATGACACTCCATGTAACTGTCCCCTATTGAGCAGTCTGTTCATAGTTTCCCACAAGAACAGCACTGCACCAAGTACTGGGATTGCAGGCATGTGCCATGGTGTCTGGTACATTAAATTCCTGCCCCCTCTGATTGTCCGATGAGATCACTTTGCCGCTGTCAGTACTTACCAGTTCTCCAAAGGTTTTCCTGAGCTAAGGTCTTTTCTTTCATACTCTTTTATTTCTTTTGAGAAAAGAGAAAGAAACACATCTTCTTGGATATGAACTCCTACAGCAGCTTTAGGAGGTCATGCTGATGCATGGCAAGAATTGACCACTGAGTTTGGGGGGTAAGTGCTCCAAGTCATGGGCTTGAGAAATAGGTTGGGGAGGTCCTTATTATATGCTCTGCATTTCCAGAGAACATTCACTCTGGAGGGATGAGTCTCATTGGCCCAAGTATAGATTGCTGTCCACAAACTGACCTCAGGGCCCCATTGCTGAAGACAACACCTGCACAACTCATTGAACATGGAGATGTCGAGCTGGTGCCTACACAGAGCCTTCACCCCTGTATTCTAGTGCCTTTGCCACAGGAAGGCATTCTACATGCTACCAAAGGAGAAATATAAACACCAACCTAGGATTTTGTTTTGTTTTATGACAGTGGTATTTGATTGTACCTTAGGTCCCTGGGCTATGTAGTCAAAGGTAGTAGTTAACTGAGCAACTGCCACAAGCCATTCATTTTATTTAGTTGTCCCCATTCTCAGGGGGTGGAAACTCAGTCCATTACAGTGACTAGACCTCAGACATGGTTCTGTACCCAGGCCTATCAGAGCACTGCCATGGCTTCCCTGTCACCACCTTCATGGTTGCCATGGTCAGCATCCTTGTCTAGGTTACACACCCACCTATGCCCACACTGCTACACAGACGAGAGATATGTGTGGCGGGTGATGTGTTGATAAAGGAAGGCCATGGGGACCTCAGTGACTGCTCCAGACCTCATGTGCTGCCTTTAGACTACAGATTCTTACTGCAGAGACAGAAACATCAGTCATGGGCCATGCCATCTGTAAAGGATCAAAAATCAAATAAGGCTCAGAAGTGAAAATTCTTCATTAATTGGCAAATTCCATGGAAAGGTAAATAGTGAGTCCAGTTTCACTTAAAACTTCATCTCCAACCTTTCTTTGCTGCAGATTTTCCTGCAGTGGTCAAAGCATGGTGAAGCTGCAGAGAGGAGGTAGGGCACTAGCCAGAGTCACGAGGCCTTGTTTCTGTCCCAGTTCTTCTCATTCACTGACATCTGCCATGGACTCTGAGGCACACACTGTTTTGTGACCTCAAACTTCCCATCTGACATAGAAGAGGATTGGGCTGAAGATTCACCAAGCCTTTCCTTCTCAGATATCTCACATTTGAAGAAGTTCTTTGCCATCCTGCAGCTGCTCACCCAACAGGCCTGTGGTTTTCTGTACTGGCTGTGTATTGGTACAACCTGGGGAGCCTATGTCCCAAACTAAGAGTATGCTATGGTTGGTCTGTTGGAGTCGCAAGCATTGGCATTATTAATTTGATTTAATGTATAGCTGGAGTTGAAAAGCACCTCTCTAATGGAGGAAGTGCTTCTAACCTACAGACGTAAGAGAACAAAGAGGCCTCAGACTCCCACTGAGCTCAGCATGTCTGGCATCAACACTTGTGCCTCTTCGTGAGATTGTGAACATCAGGAATGCTAAGGGAAACAGGGAGGCTTTCCCCCTAAGCCCACCATCCTTATAGCAAAGCTCCAAGGACAAGCCAAGCCAGAGGGGCATCACCTTTGAAGCAATTCTTGCTGTTATCTCCTCCCTATCAAAAATCGTTTTACCCAGTTCTCCTTAGAAAAAAAAAAGTCTCAGGAAAAAAACACTGTGCACATCAGATTGTGAAGTTTGATGTCTTTGTAATTTGGGGCATGTGAAAAAGCACGCTGTCTTCAGAAAACTTCAGGCATCAGCCTGTTAGCTGGGGTCAAAAGACGCTGTCTTAAGAGCACGCATCAACCCTTGTACCTGAGGAGTGTCCTGCTGTTGTTTGCACATTGGTGCTAATATTTGACACACTGATCCTCCCTGTCTGTGCAAACCTCCTGTAATCAGCTTCGGGAGGCATTTGGAGATTATCTCCGACCTCTCCGCTGCCCTTAGTCACGAGCCAGTTGATGGACCCTGAACAGAAGGCACTGCAGGGGCTGCCCTTTGACTCATCTCCTCTCCATCAGAACAGGGGTGTCCCCTTCTGTTAATAGCAAATCACAGTAATGGGACATGGGTGTAAGAAAACACTGCCAGCAGAAACTGCAGGGTGGTTCTCTCGGTGCTTGCCAGTGAGGGATTATGGGTGATTAACATTTTATAATGCTTTTCTAAAACGACCATGTGTGCCAGTGGTCAGATGGAAGAGTTGATTTTCTGCTTCCATGAGGAGCATAGCAATGCCTTGTATTAATTAGCACAGTGTTGTCTTGGTCTTTGGCAGGGTGCAAATGCCTCCTTATACAATTGGAATTTGTGACAACGGGAATTTGTGATTGATCGTCCCAGCTGTGGGGAGGCCAATTGCACGGGATCACTTAGATCCACATCTGTGGTGATTCAAGTCAAATACTTGAACCTTTGAAAAGTAGAAAGGCTTTCTTTTTTGCACAGTGACCTATGGATGGAAGAATCTGCCTATGAGCCAGTTCATCCCAGAGAAACCTCCAAAGGTTGTGACCAAGAGGCATGGGAAATGTTCCCAGTGCTAGCGTTCAGTGTGCCAGCTAATCTCTTAGTGGACTTGGCAGAATGGTAGTGGCCAAAGCAATGGAGGAGGTGAGGGAAAGATGAGGAACACACTAGGCCTAGCCAGGAGCACCTGCCTTAAAAACAACAACAATAAAAACACTTCGAGACACACTTACGCTACAGAGTTGTATTCACCACACCTCTGAAATTCCAGCTTCACTGGGCATCTTGCATTTTGTTAACTGTAGCCTGGCTAGGTCTGTGACCAGACCTTTGCCCGACTACAGGAAGGGCCACCTACCTTTTTCACATCTGAGACATTAACCGCTGTCTTCACGTGAGCCACCCAGCCCACTATCCCAATGTCCAATGGCAACACGACTTCTCTGTCAGGGGCCACAAGGTTGTCCTCAAACTTAGAAGTTGGGGTGATGTCCAGCAGCCTGGAGGCCACTTCGGGTATGCCATTTCTTGCTCGGCATATGAACATGCTGCAGCAGTCAGCCTGGAGAAGCTGAGCCAGCCTCTGCAGGGCCCTGTGAGTCACCTGCTCGGCGCTGCCTGCTTCATCCTGCATACATTGCAGTAGCTCCAGGCGCAGGGCTGCCTCCTCCACCTGCATCATCTCAGGGAGAGTCATGCTGGCCTGCACCCCTGGGTGGCTGTTTTTGAACAGCAGGCCCACCCGAAGCTTCTTGTCAAAGTACTCCTGGGCAAACTGAGGATTCTCTTGCAGGTATCTCTCGACAGCATCTTGACTGATCTCAGTCATGGTGTGACTTGTGTTGCTGCTGCTGTCCAGAGAAGAGGGCTCCTCAGAGTGACGCCTGGGCTAGTATGACAAGGAGGAAATACGTCCTGGCCGAAGCCATCAAAGGAGCTCCAGGTGGTGCCTCACTAAGCCCCCCCAAAGGCTGCTTAGTGGTTCTTTCAAACAGCCTGGGACGTGACACAAGACCTTGGCTTATGGAAGTGGTGGATTAGAGAGTCCTTTAAGTCACAAAATCCCTCAGCATTATTAGCGCCAAAGTCCTCAGAGAATCTTTGAAGAGCCAGGCAGGAGTCAAGTGGCAAGATCTGTTCCTGAAGAATAACTCAGCTGCTGTTGTCCACAACCAAGACTACTCATCGACATCTCCCTTGGTGACCTTACAGACAGCATAGGCAGGCCCTTTTAGTTAGTTGTTCTGGTGTGATAGCTATCAGGCTGGTTTATATACAGACCTCAGATGTGCTTGGGGCTTTGGGTTTTGCATATGGAGCAGCTTTAACCACTTCAGTGAGCACAGGTAGGGGAGACAGAAGGGTTTAGCATCCAAGTAGCACAAACCCCCCCCCCCCCCCCCGCCCCTCCTTGTTGTTTTGTCTGCTCTTATTGTGGAATACTAGTTTAACTAAGCAAGAACGTGTTACATTGGTTTATGCTGTGGAATATTCCTTTAACTATGTGAAACGTTTGTTTCTGTTGCCTTTTGTTAAGATGTAAAGATGTGCTGCGTTTGTTTAATTATGTAAAGATACATTGCATTCATTTCACCTTGCCTGTCTAAGGAACCTGATTGGTCTAATAAAGAGCTGAGTGGCCACTAGCTAGGCAGAAGAGGGATGGGCTGGGCTGGCGGGCAGAGAGAATAAATGAGAGAACAGAGGAAAAGACAGAAGGGAGGCATCTATCAGCCAGACTTGGAGATGGCAGGAAAGTAAGATACACAGAAAGAAAGGGTGGTAAAAAAAAAAAAAAAAAAAAAGCCCTGAGTAAATGAAGAGCAACAGGTTACGTTATAAGAGCAAGAAATAAGCCTAAGCTAAGGTTGAGCATTCATAACTAATAAGAGAATAAGAGGTCTCTACGTCATGATTTGGGAGCTGGTTGATGGACCAAAAAGAAAAAATAAAAAGAAAGCCTGTTACACCCTTTCCTTTAAAGTTTCCCTACTCAATGGCCCTCACGTTAGAAAGTTTGATCTTGGAATCACTTAAAAGGAACAAAACTGGGCCTTATCACTAAGAGAGTTAAACATAGTTTTAAAAAAAATATGCACACAGTCCAAGTGCAGGGGAACCACAGATTACATGGCTACAGAGGGAACCATGCCATCCCTAACTGGCTTTTCTGCCTCTAAGCATATTAGTTTGCTTAATATAACAAATAAGCGTATTTGTTTTCAGTGGCAGTAGCTTGGGATCATGCATTTTCCTCTCTGAGGCAGTTTGTTAAATCTACAGGACACAAGCTGTCATCTGTTGCTAGGAACCTTGACATGTCAGGGACTGCTAGTGAGCAGAGCACACATAGCACGACTAAGTTTTGTTTAAGGTTTGTTTTATTAAGCTTTAGTGCCTATTGCGCACATTCCCTCAAGCAAACTATCACACACCTCCTAAATCAAACTCAACATTTTCCAATCCAGTCGGCTGATTCCAAGTCTTGATGAATCTTTTACCTGTTTCAATGAAGCTTCAAACATCACAAGATAAAAGTTGAAATGAAACAATCCTGGTCTACAGAGTGAGTTCCAGGACAGCCAAGGTTACACAGAGAAACCCTATCTTATAAAACCAAACAAATGAAAAAGTAGAAGTGAAAAATAATAAATTATTAGTATTTCTCCCTTAGATTGGCTTCTGAAGGTATAATATTTATGTCTGTAAATGTAAAGTTCTACCTCAATAGAATGATAGTAATCTTAGTTACAAAAGGGAGAGGCTGAAGCTGCAGGATCCAGGTCATAAACTGAAACTCTTAGTTCTAACATGGTTTTCCCAGGGGAACAGAACTCACACTGCCATTGATAAGTTATGGTGGTGATTCACATGTTACCCCAAAGGACCTCATAAGGTGCCCACATTGTCTTGTTGCTGCTATGTGACACTCAAGTCTCCTCCCAGGGGGGCTTTTGCCAAGTGACTGTTTCCTTCATCCTTAAAGGATGGCACTAGGTCCCAGTAGGGATATGAAAAACCCAAAACAAGCAACAACAGATTGGATCAGTAATAAGTTTCCTCTAAATAGAAATGGTAACCGACAAAACAAGTAGAGATGAGTCTAGGAATGTTGCCTGAGCCCTAATTACAGGACTTCAGAGGCTATACTGAGGGCTTGGGAGGTTTTGAGACAGGGTAGGACTCCGTGAGGACTCTTCTTTACAGTTTAGCCTGGTAGCAAGGTTGTGCTGGACTTCCAGAGTAAGTTCGGAAGAGTCCCTCCCTGTGGCTTCGGGGAGATGGAGCAACTATTGAGAGCACTTTGCTTACTGCCCTTGCAGAGAGTCAGAGTTCAGATCCCTTTCAAGCATGGGAGGGTGGAAGGGGAGAGAGGAGGAGGGAAAGGGAATGAGAAAAATCTATAGCTCAATAAATAAGGAGTCACAACAAAAAGAAATTCTCAAACAATACAAAAGAAATGTTTCCCTGAATAACATTCATTCTTATGGCAAAGTCATGTAAAATCACATTTTTCTAACTTCTCAAATTTCAAAATAGAATAAAAGTTAAATTTATACAGAAAATAAAATAAATTTTAAAAAGAGTTCCCTTTCTTTCAGTTCTATTAGACAGTTTGAGAAGTATTCGTTCTTCTTAAAGTTTGGTAAAATTCTACTCCTGCCAAATTGGTTTCCTTCCAAGAATGCAAGGATGGTTCACCACAGATAAATCAATACAAGTGACATTGGGGCTGGAGAGATGGCTCAGCAGTTAAGAGTGTTTACTGCTCTATCAGAGGACCCAGTTCAGAAAATGACATTTTTCAACTGAGTGGTGGTGCACACCTTTAATCCCAGCACTCAAGAGGCAGAAGGAGGCAGATCTCTGTGAGTTCAAGGCCAGCCTGGTCTACAAAGTGAGTTCCAGGACAGCCAGACCTGTTACATAAAGAAACTCTGTCTTGAAAAGAAAAATGAGATGGAATCAGTTGCATGTTCATCAACAAATGAGGAAATATATGTAATTTGCATACAATATATAGTTATGAATTATATGTATTGTAACTTATATATAGTGGAGTATTATTAAGCCAGAAATGAAATTCTATCATTTGTAAGAAAATGGATAAAACTGGAGTCCAGTGTGTTAAACAAAATAAGCCAGATGCAGAAGGACAAGTATCACGTGTTTTCTCTCATATGCAGAAACAAAGTCCAATGGCCTAACACCACAAGAGTGCTTTTAAAGGAATAGGAAGGGGGTTGGAGATGGGGGGGCGGGGGAGAAGGGGGGAAAGTCTAGAAGACTGGATAGGCATAACCAATGTTGCTATATGAATATATAGAAATACCACAAAGGATCCCATTGATTTGGCACAGTTAACATATTCAACATATAATAAAAATGTGATCTTGTAGCACTGAGCAAGATAAATTGGAAAAAGGAAATACTTGGCATCAGTATATGGATTATGATGTATAATGTATTTGGGTCATCATCAAACATGGTTCTTATATGGTTAAAAAAAAAAAACATTCTTTTTAATCTTTGATTATACTTTCCTGATGGGTATTAAGACTATGTAGGTGACAAAAATTATCCCTTTCTTTATTGTCAGCTGAGGGTCTGGTCCTCAAGGATCATGTGAGCTTGGGAGGAACCCCAGCTCTTTTAATTAATCTCTGTGTGTATGTGTCTCTCTCTCCTCCCTATCTCCCTCCCTCTCTCTCTCCCTCCCTCTCTCCTCCCTATCTCTCTTCCCCTACCCCCCTCTCCCTCTACTCCCCCCCACCACCACCAATTTTGTCACCTGTTGGGGAGGAGTCAGGCTCTTGCTGACTGTAGTACTTCCTTTGGAAGCACAGGGGGCATTTCCTTCTGTGTTGACTCTCTTCTTGGTAGGCTGTACACTGCTTAGGTCCGGCCTCTGGCTCTGATCTCCACCAGACAGGTAACTTGATGCAGATGGCCCATAGTCTCCTAGGACCTAGTTGACCTTGGAAGGCAAAGACCAAAATATTTACCTTTTAGTCTCTATAACCAGACTGGTATTGACCTCCAAGCATGGTTATTGAACACCCAGAAAGTCAGTTGTACCAGTCTGCTGCTTTTCACTTTTTTTTTTCCATTTAAAAAATATTTCTTGTAAGCCAGACAGTAGTGGCACTACAAGAAAACAAGCAAAATTGATTTTATTCAATGTGTACCAACATTTTGCCTGCATATATCTCACACGCATAGTTGGGGTCCCTGCGGAGGGATCCCCTGGAACTAGAGTTATGGATAATTGTGAGATGTCGTGTGGATTCTGGGAATCAAACCCGAGTTCTCTGCAAGAACAAAAAATGTTCTATTTCACTGAGCCACACACTTTTAACTTGTGTATCATTTAGATAAAGCTTAGGTAAAAACTAAATACTTTACACCGAAATTTCATTGATTTCAGCGAAGGAAGGTAAGTCAGTATCTGTTATGTGCAAATGATGTGTGTCTCATAGAAGTAAGGGGATAGCCATTATCAGCCTTGAAGTGAGGGATGGCAGAAATGAATATTACGTGAATTATATGCAAACTCAAAACACAATACTACTAAAAAAAGAACTAGAAAAAATGTTGGCAAATGATGCATTTATGTCTGACATTTTACCTGTAAAATATTGAAATAATACAAGAGGTACAAAGAAAAATAAATCTTAAGTGTCTCAAATTGTATCATATCAGGGTAACCACTGTGAATACTTTCCTTTCAGGTACATATATTTGCATGGTGGAAGAGTTATTTGTGAAGTCCAAAGCATCAGTTGACCTTAATTCACATATTTGTAATCATGAAGAAACAGAAGACAGAATGCCAAAATAAACTGTTTTTCTTTGCTGGGATCTAAAAATCAAGGTTTGAGAGAAGAGGGAGCACGGGAGAGGAGGACGGGGGAAGGGAAGAGAGGAGGGAGAGGATAGGATTGATTGATCGACTAGATTCTAAACACCTAGCATATAAATGAGTACATAACTGTTGAGAGAAGACACATTGAAACCCACACACACACAAAAACACACACACAGAATGTGCTCCAGGAGAACTGCTGAAAGGACTAGAGGGATTCCAGAACTTTTCTTTCAGAAATACTCATCCAGAGGCAATGGGCTCAGCCAGAAGCATAGGGTCACTCAAGTTATGCAACAGGCAGACTTCTACTCTGGAGTACGAAGAGGGAGAGGTAGGTGCCCTGAAGTCCTTTCCTGGGTGCGGAGATGTGGACCACACACATGACAAAACACATGGTTCCACCACACCTTCCTGAGGTCATCATATTTGAGCTTTTTAAGATCGCTGTTAGACTTTATCTGTGAGTTCAAGCAACAGTGAACCAAAAATATTCAAGGTAAAAGACACAGAAAGATCCAAACACAGAAACAGAATGAATTTGCTGCAAAACGAGCACTCTGCTGGGCCCCTAGGGAAATGTGATGTGTGTTGCACAGCCTACTGTGGTCTCCCACAATTCCACAGACCCGAGCCACTCTCCAGTGTCTGTGTGTTGGAGTACTGGACACCTTTGGCTGTTTTATGAGCTGTGCGGTTAGGCTCTAATGTCCATATCTCTACTGACTTGTCATTATTCTCTAAACAACACAGCCAACAACTTTTTGCATGAGCAATATGCCACACATGCCTATACTGAACACATAGAGGTTTGTTTTCTTGTCATTCCTTAAGTAATACAGTACAATAGTTATTTACATAACATTTACATTTTATTAACGTTATAATTCAGAGAAGCCTGAGATTTACACAAGGCTTTTTGTAGATTATATTCAAAAGCATCTTTTTATACAAAGGATTTGGACATTCTTGGATTTGAGGAGCCCATGGGTACTGAAATCAAGCCCCTGTTGATACTGAGAGGCAAGTACATACTTCTTTTGGTGAAACTGGTCCAGTCATACTTCCCAGTTAGCCTGCAGGCCAGAAAGTCTTCCCAGGTTGTGGAGTCCTACAGAGTTAAAACACAGTCTCTGGTGCCACAGAGGCCGAAGGGAATACAATGGATGCAAGAGTTGGGGGACAGGGGCATAAGGCAGAGAACCAGGTAAGTGGATGTCTAAAAGGTCACGGGAAGTTGGAGGATGTCTTTGCCAGATGATCCGATGTGGCTAAGGAGCTTGTTGAAGGAAACATCAATTTAGTTCTTTATTAGTGTGTCTCCTCTCCTTTCCCCACCCCTTTTATTGCAGGTCTAGCTATGGTGAAAATGGTTGCCTTCTCTCTGATGATCAGACTTAGAGCCATTATAGAGATAGACACACACACACACACACACACACACACACACACACACACACACACACACACACCACTAAATCTCATTTGGTCAAAATCTTCTTTTGAACCACTTTGATGGAGTGCTAGCTCCAAATGCTGAGGTAAATGTAGTAAATTTTGTCGTTCAATAGGCAAACAATTTGTGATAGGCAAACAATCAGCCAATTGACAGTCTTTTGACTACAGACCACTAAGGTTACAGGCTTTTTTTCCTCACGTTTGTCTACTCCCGAGCCAGTTTTCCCCACTGTTTTGGAAATAAGTAAAAGCCCAATATGGCTTAGAAATAAAGATGTATGGTAAACAGTCGGTAGTTATGTTTTTCAGTGTGGTTTCAGAGAAGTGTGGCAACACAAGTGGACCATCAACCACTGGGCCACCAGCGCTGCAGAAATATTTCCTGTCCTGACCAGGTGGAGTTTCTAGAAAATATTTAACAGGGAGCGTTTTAGTTCTCCTGAAGATGATGAAACTAAAGAACAAATATTGACGCAAACAGTACCACAGCTCCTCAAAGAGTGAAACATGCTCCCTTTCAAAGAGGAAAAAAAAAATCTCAGCCAAAATATGCAAAACAAAAAACAACAACAACAACAACAACAAAAAACCCAACTCCGCACAACAGGTTCTCAAAAGAAACAGGGGCCCTTGGGGAAAGCCAGGGCCTGAACACAGGCTGCATCACAGGTTCCTTTCTAGTCCGATGAGGCCATCATCACCACACCATGGCCACATAGGCCTCCAGCCAGGGCACCAAAGTCTGGAGGCCACTCCAGATCGCAGCTGGCTGCCGCTTGGTCCCTGAGCCAGCTCTTGGCCCCGTGGATCGTCTGGGCTGGAGAGTTTGGCTCCACCGAGACCACCCTGCGCGGACCTGTGAGCAAAGGCGACACCGAGCGGTGAGGCTGGCGGAGGGGCTCAGAGTGCGTTCGGTGGTGAGTCAGG